GCCCGTGGCCGCTCCGCCCGTGGCCGCTCCGCCCGTGGCCGCTCGCGTTCCGCCTCACGCCGCGCCGTGTCCCCGCGCGGGGCCGCAGTGTGGCAGAACCCCTACCTGAACGTGTTCAAGCACTTCCGCGTGGAGGAGTGGAGGCGCTCGGCCAAGGAAGGCGACGTGACGACGTTCATGGTAACGTTGGGCAGGGGTGTTGGGGAAGTCAGTGGCCGGGACCCCCGCGCTGCGCCCGGGACAAGCCCCGCAAGGAGCAGGGGCAGCTCCTGCAGGCTCCAGCTTTGGAACCGCCCCCCCTGCAGCCCTGAGAGCAGCCCCGGGTCCAGGGGAGCCGCCTCCCCTTCCCCCCTTCTCCATCCCATCAGGAATAGCCAAAACTGCCGCTTCYCGTAGCGGCTTTTGCAGCTGGGAACTCTGCACTTGCCACAGGAATATTGCATGATATAAAGGACTGGGATACCTATGGATGCTGCTGCTCCTGCRATAAATGGGCTCCCTAACATAAAGCACCAGGGTTCCCTAGCCCTGATCCTCCCCTGCCTGCCCGATCTTGCCATACGTCTGTGTGGAGCAGCTCGSATGAGGAAACAGCCCTTGGCCTGGAGTGGGCAAATCACCCCCTGCGGTCCTGCTCGCCGTTCCTGTGCCCGTGCTGATGCCGGCCCTTGTTACTGCAGGACAAGACCCTGAAAGGAACRGTGTATCGGATCCGGGGCTCCATTCCTGCCAGTAACTACATCCAGCTCCCAAAGACCAGCACGCAGTCGCTGGGCCTCGTTGGGCGCTACCTCTACCTGCTCTTCAGGCCTCTGCCCAACAAATACTTCGTCGTGCATCTGGATGTCTCCACAGAGGTGTGTGATACGCAGGGCGCTGGTGCAATTTGCGCTTATTAAAGTCTGAGGGCAGCGTGTTCAGATCTTGGAGTTTCAGACATGGGACTGTTTGGCTCTAAGGTGGACGTCTCCTAGGAGTCTTTCCCACTGATGTTCCTGATGTTCCACTGATGATGAGTGTTGTAGTAGTTGTTGGAGTGGGTTAAAGGAGAAGGTGACATACCTTCCCTGAGCCTGGTTATCCAGAGAGCTCCAGGAGTTTCTCAAAGTGCTTCCAGGGAAAGCTGATCGTTGTGGTYGGGGACAGTTACCCTGGGCCTGGGATGATTTCTGTTCTTGTGCYATCTGTGTATTCAGGCTTCTTGTTTCTTGGGCTCTCAGGACTCTATTGGATGGGACAAGAGGCTATTACTCAATTGTCTAGGCCTGGGACAGTGCAAATATCCTCTGCAGCACTTGCTTGCTTAAGCCACCAGGGTGACTCAAACACCATGTGTGTGTCTTTGTCCTCAGGATAACCAGGTGGTTCGCATCTCTTTCTCCAACCTATTTAAGGAGTTCAAATCCACAGCCACATGGCTTCAGTTCCCTTTCATCTGTGGAGCAGCCAAAGGGCCAGTTTATGAGAGCACAGCCAAGACTTCCAAGCAAGGTAAAGAATACTGCGTGTGGATGGTGGCATTGCCCTTGTCACAGCAGAGACTGGGCTGGAATATCAGGGCMAAAATAAATTATTAGAAAATAAACTGTGTTCAAAAAGGGAGTGGATGGATGCCAGGAGGATGAGTGCATGGCTGATGCACAAGCAGTGTAGATGCACTCTCTTGATCCAGAAGGCCCCTAACAGCCAATAATTGAAAGCTAGTGCTGTGGGGAAGGACTGTTTATGCCTTCCCTATTCTTAATTTCTGCCCAAATAATGGGTGATGTAATATCAGGCTAGGTGTGAGTCTGGCCTAAGGCACCATGGCCAGTTCTCTGTTCTTTCCAGACCTATGTGCTGTGATAATGAGCAATGAGGTGTGTTTTCCAATCTCAGGTACTCTTCTGATGTGCTATTGACTAGTCAAGCCTGGTGGAAATCCTGTTAAATACTTTTCACTTTAGTTTTAAAAGGCTTTAGGGCTTCTTCTTTTCTACATGCTACAAAAGACCCTGGGAGGACCTCATTGATTCAGGGTCCAAGAGTGAAATSTAAAGTGCATTAAGTGATTAATATTTCCTGCAGTTGTATCAGCCAGGCTAAAACTAACTCGTGGTGTCAGTTCTGTAGTTCAGGGTGCTACATCAATTGATTGTCAGTTGTCTGCAGGAAGAGATCCCATCGTACATAATGTGGCATGTTCTGCTGTGCTTGTCCTCTGATGTGAGCATTCAATGCAAGCTGCCACTCAGTGACTAGAGTGGAGTAGCATTTATTGTCCTAAGGAGACACTTCTCCTGGACCCMACCGAGTTGGGCATATTGCAAGCAGATGTTAAATCTTGCATTCTGAGGCCTATGTTTGAGGGCTGAGGATCACAGATTTATGCATGAAAATGTGCATAAAAGCACAAATCAGCCTCTGCTTGCTGGTGCTGCTAGAAACGTGCCCCAGAGCAGAACRGTGACTTGGATGTGCGCATTGAGAGACCCTCCTGATCATGTGCATGCTGCTAATCTTGCATCTCCCATCTGCAAGGATGACAGCCTAAGGTTTGTAATCTCTTCTGACGTGCCCTTACTACTCCATGCTGACCTTGCAACARACCATTTTAATGCCCAGATCTAGTGGGAGCAGCCCCTGCCAACGTGCGCTGGACCTGTCTGATGCTCGATCTCCAGTACATCCTCTCCATGTACCTCAACCGTCGTTACAGCCATCTGAAGAGTGTCAAGCTCTGCTCCAACCTCCTGGTGAAGAATCTCTGCACGAGTGACTTGCTCTTTGACCCAGGTAAGGAGCTGAGAGCTTGGGGTGGCACGTCATTTCTTGTGTGATGTAAAYCAGATCTAGTGAATAAATATGGTCCTCCACTCTCAGAGAAAAGTGTTGTTTCTTATTTTCCAGCTGGGAGAATGAAAGRTAGGAGAAAAGTTAAATATCTTGCCAGCACTAGATTGTTGCAAGAAAATAAAAAGGTGTAACCACACTTCACTTTTCACAGGCTTATACTTTTCTCTTACAGAGGAACCTGTTTTCTTTTTTTATTTCTTGATAATTCTTTTTCACTGAAATCAAGAAATCTGCCAATATACTTTAATTTTTTTAATCCACCYACTCAGTGCAGCAGATATATTCCAATCAAAGCCTTTGTTTCTGACTTATTAAAAAAAATCTCTCTGGAAATCTACTGAAACTGACTGGCCCACTTGAAAGCGTCAGTGAGGAATTTAYAGATGCTATTTACCATGAAAGAAGTCCCCCAGACTTTGAGGGATTAAAATAAATATGGATAAAATAAAGATAAAATCTTGAAGACTCATCATTTTAATGAAGTGGCAAATGCAGCAGGGAAGAAAATCGAAACTCCTAGTGCAGATCATGTGAAAATGCAGAAAATAATAGCAAACCAGACCAAGTTGGTCTTTGCAATGGGTAATTTATAACTTAATACCAGAGGTTTAAGCTCTTGCTCCTTCTTTTGAAGTTGCAAGTTCCAAGAGTATTCCTGTGTGAAGGAATATTCATTTGTTATAGGCATCAAGGTACATCAGTTGAGTCCAGCTGYGAGCCTCCAACCCCAGAGACTTGGAGAACTTAGTTTTATGTCTTGTGTGCCAATAGGTGTGACCTTCTCTGAAGCCCGACAGAGCAACCTGGCCTGCCATGGTGTATCTCCCATGCCACGAGAAATGGCATTCCCTGTGCCAAAGGGAGAGAAATGGCACGACCGCTATGACTATATCAGGTACTGTTGCTAAACGCTACTGTTGACATCACTAGAACTTTTAGATCTCTCTTTAGGGCTGGTCAATGTGCAGTGTGGGAAGGCAGSAGAGTTAAAAGCTAGCTGAGAAGTGTCTGCTTTGATACAAAGCAGGATTCTAGTTAAATCATTGTTTGCCTCAGCTCTAGTGCTAAAATGTTGTGAGCACATCTATGGTCAGTGCTTAATAGTTGGTTGCTGATATTTTGGGGCAGGCAAAAGGCCTTAAGAGTTTCCAGTTCCAGAACATTTTCTGAGCCCTYTTTGCTGAGCTTGCTTCTGTGGTTAGCCTAGCTAAATGCAAGCTTTTTTCCTCGGTGGCTATTTCTAGGGAGCACTACAACTTCTTGCTAGTTCTCTGTGCCTTAAAAGTTAGGCTCTACAGTGGTTGCTGAACTGTCATCAGCCTCAATGCCTCATTAGGCAGGCAGACATCAATGTACCTTCCCCACCAGAAAGCCAGCCTTAGTGCTGTGATCCCATCTGTGCCGAGGTCTTTGCCAGCTGACTGTGTTGGCCATAAATTGCAGCTCGTCAGAGTCAGCAGCACTGGAGCAGTGCTTAAAACATGTTGGGTAAACATAGCCTCTGGAAACCAAGGCTGTAGATCACACAATGGAGATGCTTTAGTATCCTTGTGTCTGGGGGAAGAGGGAATGAAAGAGAATTTTATAGGAGTCAGCCAGATAAATCTGAAGACTTTTGTGCCAGGCAGGTAGTTATCAAATAGGATTCCTGTGCAAAATCCTAAATAAAAGATGCCTTTCCTCTGCTTTTTTTTTTTTTTTTTTTTTTTTTTTTTTTTTTTTCTCTCTTCTCTCCCCTCTCCAGGTTTCCATCTGATGGGTCCAAGCTGCCATACGACTCAATCCAAAAGAGCTGTTCCAGCCCTGCAGCAGGTAGGGAAGCTGGGGGGTCAGTGGGCTGAGGCTGGGTCAGCCCCTTGGTGCAAGCCCAAACAGTGGCCACTGCTTCATGGTCTCTGAGGAATCCTCCRACTCCCGTGTGTTGTCCAGAGCCCTTTCCATTACCAATTTGACATACAGCTCTGGAAAAGCATCTCCCAGAAGGTTAAAAAACACTTGAGAGAGGCCCTGCATTTTGCAGAGATAGRTTTTTCTCAGCAGGAGCTGCCTAAATTACCTGTATTTGTCATTTAGAAGTGCTGAGAAGCATTAAAAGGTGATGAGAGSAAAGAGCTTTTTTGGGTAGTGAATTTTGATGATTTTTTTAAGGAAGCTGCCATGGTTTCTTCCTATAAAATTGATACTGAGCAGGCAGCTCTTTAACAAGAGTTAAAGAGTCTCCTGTGCTTGGAGTCTATGCCCATCTCCTTCCCAACCTAGGGCAGCAAACCTGCAGACTCTTTTTTGTTTCAGAACTCGTAACAGGTAGTTTCAGCTAGTGCCTGATCAGAGGTCTAGGATGGATGTTTTTATTGCAGTACACTCCCACATCTTTCTGAATTCCAAAAGCAGTCGCTTGTTTCCACTCTGGACTTTTTCCACGTGCTCTTGACCTGCAGATAAAAAGGAACAAAACAGAAAACCCYGCAGAGAGTATTACTTACAGCAGGGGTACCAAGTGTAGAAGTGGGTCTTTGTTATCCTGTTATAGAATAGCCTTTTTATTTTATTTATTTATTTTTTTTTTATCTGGATGTTTTTTAAAGGAGGAATAAGAACTTGAATGAAACGGCTGCTAATTACTGCATGCAGGAGCAGGTAGTTAACAGATCAGAGGGTTACAGACACCATCCCTCTCCCTTTGTGCTGCAGGTGGCCATGTTTTGGAAGACGCAGTCCACGAGCTGCCCCAACTGGTAACGCTCACCAAAGCAGTCCGTGATCGTCTGTCCCTCGTTCAGCAGATAACCAGCCCCAAAGCTGTGAGTACACCATGGAGAGAGGGTGCAGCTTCTTCCTTCCTGCCTCGTGGAATGTTTTCACACCTCTTTTGCCTTTTACATCCTTTATTTAGGATGTACAAGCTGCTTTTTGTCACTCGCAGCCTTGTCTGGGCATGGTCTGTTGACCTCAGTGCCACAGTTAATGTCTTTGTGGTTCAATCTGCCGTGACGCAGAAAAAAGTCTGGGTAAATGCCAAGTACTTTGTAATCTCTAGAATTCTATTCTCCCCATCTCAGCTGAGGCAGCAAATAATTTTTATTCACATTATCTGTATGAGTAAAGGACTAGGGAGAGAGCTTGATGAAGGGTGTCTCTAGTATAGCTGGRTACAAAATCCTGATTACTGGGGCTGCGAGCAGCTGCCCCGAACCGCAGAGTTCTTCTCATTTGCTGTTACTAGTGACACAGGTTTTGGYATCTGACCCTTTCTTATCAGAAAGATAGTAAAGATGTAGGAGGGCAATAGGCTTTTGTAGAGGACTGGGGAAATCTGTGCTGTTTATGCTGTGGAGGGGGAGGAAAAATTGAATGCAACTGCTTGCTCTTCTGAATGGAGATAAGCCAAGTTAGCTGGCCATTGGCTTTCAGCTTCTGCTCAGTGGAGAGCCTATTAAGAGCTGGGTCTTCTCCAGGATTGCTTTGTTGTGTCCAGAGGAATGGAACTGTTTGTGAACAGTATTGGGAACACAGGGAAACTGGCTTGGTAACATACCTGACGAAGTCAGCTACCTACAGTGAGGTGATAGGGATGCTCTCCCTGCATGTTACTCTCTCATTKGGATCCATATGTTTCTCACTTAATTGTACGCTTGGAATTATTAATAGTCACTCGGGAAAGATGCTGGTTTCTCCTTGTCCCTCCCTTTGCAGTGGGTGTAAGAACGTGGGAGGGAAGTCAGGTCTGTGTCTGAGGCTTTCTTCTTTCTCAGATGCCACGTCGGTGTCCTCTAATTACAAAAAGCATTCCCGAGGTTCACCTAACAGCCCCAGGGCCTTTGGAAGTCCTGCGTGCTGGCGAGCAGGAGGCGAACAAGAAAGGGAAGCTCCAAGGTGCTGGCGACTCTGCTGGGCGCTCGCCAGCAGTCCCTGATGGAGGGATTCACGTGTACGCCCACAAGACGAGCGAACGATCCATCCGTGCCCTCAACACAAGCTTGGAGGAGGTAGGTGAAACACTGAGGAATCACAGCAGTCTGGTTTCACACTTTCTGCTTGGCACAGCTCTGCGTTCTGCCTGTTTTGGAGTGATTTTTGCTAATGCTTCCCCTTCATTTGGTCTTCTTGTGACTTTAATCGCAGGAGGTTTTTGTCAGGAAGAGAGTGGGCCTTGAGCTGAGCTCCCTGGGCTTGGGGCACAAGCTTTTTGGATTCCTGTGTGTGGGGCTCCTGCCAAGCCAGATCCTCAGTCAGCGTATGACACTGGTGCAGAGGGGCCATTTTTTCCCAGCTGAAGCTCTTTCCCTTCCTTTTGCTGTGTCCTGTGGGACTGAGCAAATACACTAGCTACCCCTTGGCACCCTTATCCCACCTGCATATCTACATTCTCTCATAACATTGTGAATGCAGAGACATTGTGTAGTCCTGATTGCTGGGACTGCTTTGGGTTGTAGGGAGCATAAGGCATCCAAGCAGGACATTTGTGGGCTGATGCCTGTAATGCTTTTGAGCTCAGCAGAGGAAACAAAAGATTGGGCTGGAATTTCAGTTAATGTCAGTCCAGTCCTGATGCTGACATTATTTTTTCTGACTGTCAAGTTTTTCTTTCCACAAGTATCTTATATTTCTTGAAAGAGGGACCGTATGTCTAGTTCTGGGATGCATGCACTGACATAAAACCAATAATGTGCAGGTACTGAATTATTATTATTACATTATTTTCCCAGAGTATATACACGAAGGTCACTGGACCAGATGTGCTGTCTAGCAGGAGGGCCTCTCGCTGCAGGGTAAGATAACAGATCTTTCCACAGCATCATTCTGCTCTCTAGGAATTTTCAGGCATTAGGAAGATCTGTTTGCAGCTCCCTTAGCCTAAGCTGGAGAACTTCTGCAAATAAGATGTCAGAAGATCCCAGCTCCAGTTTTCTTCCAAGTTTAACTTCTGGCGGGTCAAATAATTTAAAACTGTCCCCTTAATGGGACAGGATTCAGAACAGTCTCTGTGTTTTCAGGAGAAAGTAGAAAAGAAGAAGGAAGCAGAGTGGCTGAGTAGTCCAGAGGAATGTGGTGGAGCAGTTATTGATCTGGCTGTAGTCCTGCAGTAAGTGTGCCAATGCTGTCTTTCTTTCAGAGGCTTTTACCAGATCCAATCCTGAAGCTGAAGATGATTATTGGCTTTGGAGGCTGCAGCACCAAATGGGTCAGTAATTGAAAGAGTTTTTGAAGTTTATCTGTAACCACATTATAAGGATATTGATTTTTATCAGATACACGAATGTGCCAAACTTCYTTGGGAAAAGGGCCCCATAACAGATGGGCACGAGCTTATGTTTGGGTGTGGGTCTTCCACTATTCCAGTGGTGAATCAGGAGCCCTTTTAGATCTCACGTCTTCTGCGTTTTAACACATCTCATGCCCCTAGAATGTGCTTTGCTGGAGTCTAGAAGAGGGCTGTGGTTTGGGTCGTTTCCATGTGGGGCTTTGCCTTCCAGGATCCCAAACCATGGTCTGCCTTGGAGTTAGAATAAAGGAAGTTTTCTGTGCTTCATCCAGCTCAATAACATAATTTTCCATGTATCTGCAGTGCATGTACAAGATATGATTTGGATAGTAAATCCACGGAATGAACTTGGATGTCAGCTGGGCTTTTTCTTTTCCTTTGCTAGTTGGAAGCCCACATGCATGAGAGAGCAGTCCTGTCACCTGCACATTTGCAGCAGCTCTCCAAGTCTCCCATGTGTCTAAGAAAGCTCTGCAAATCCAGGCTAGGAACCGGATCCTCTGTGGGATCTCATCCTCCGTCTCATTCCCTCATTTGTCCTGCAGGCGCTGTGGACTCACAACAACTCTGCAGTGGTCTACCCCTGCCATGCAGTTATAGTGACCATGCAGATTCAGACCGGAGAGCAGAGGTTTTTCATCGGACACACAGATAAGGTCAGTGCAAGCGTTCTGACAAAGGCTTGTTTCAGTGATATGCTTGTTAATTCCTAAGAGGTGAGAATTAACCTCTAACCTCTCTGCTGCTCCTGCTCAAAGTGTTATAGTAAAGCATCGACTGTGACCCTGGGGAGGTTGTGGCAAGTCCAACCAGACCCTGCATCCAGAGTGGAAGTCAGGAAGAGCCTTGGCTTAGCAGCAGCAGGACTTACCACCAGTCCTAGCTTTCCCCAGCACCTCTAACCTCACCTTTCCCCAGGTGTCAGCGCTGGCCTTCAATGGAAACAGCACCTTGCTGGCTTCTGCACAGACCGGCCCCTTGAGCGTGGCTCGCCTCTGGGAATTCCCCAAGGGGAGCTGCCTGGCGGTGTTCAAAACCCACGTGCGGTCACTCACGTCCCTGAGGTAGGTTTCAACGTGTGAAGGGAGGAGGAGATGAGGGCAGGGATGCATTCAAGTGGGTGAAGCATTGCAGCATGGCATCTTCTCTGCGCCATGAGCGCATGATAACGCACGGCTGATTTATAGCTCTCCTTTAGCTGCTGTTGTGTTTATCACCGAGACCCTGCTGGCAGTTATCCTAGAACAGCTGGTGTGCTGCCAGCTTCCTCCTTCCCTAACTTATCCCTCGGGACGTGCTGTCTCCCCATAGCCTCATCTCATCTCTTTTTATTCCCTGCCGAGATGCGCTTGGGCTGTGAGGAACTGCGTTTCACCAAGCATCTTGTTCTTGCAGCTTCTCCTACAGTGGAGCAGTTCTTTGTGGCATTGGAAAGGATGGACATGGCAAAACGGTGAGAGCTTTCTGGTTTCCTTTTTTTTCATATCCTGTAGAACAAGCATCACAAGATATCTCCCCTCTTAGATTACGCAGTTACTCTGCAGGCACACTGCTGGTATGGGCTTTCCAGGGCATGGTGACACAGAAAAGACTGTGGAAAAGACTTCTCACTGTAAATAAAGAGATATCTCATTAGAATGAGATTCTTGTTCTAATGAGAATGAGATTCATGAGAATCTCTGGTTAGAAAATAGTTTGTCTGATACATGTGTCTTTGAAGGTACTTCCCCAGCTGGAAGCAAATAAATTATTTCWAAGGTAACTTGTGGGGAGATCTGTTCAGGTTGAGCTTTGGGCCCATTTCTGTCCTTTGGTTTCTGGCAGTGATTGTTTGTGGTTAAGGCAGCTGTGTGATTCTCCATGTATCCTGTGGGGATCACTGTAGACTAACATACATCATTCCCTGGCCTCCCTGCAGCAGTTCTGACCCTCCTGGTAGAGGGTGACACATGCTTGCGTGTCATTTTAAGCTGGAAGGCTTGAAAGCACTTAGTGGAAGAATGGGAATTGAAATGGGAGATTTGGGGCTGGAGCCCAAAACCCTTTTGTAGAGCATTTAGGGGAAGCAAGGCAGATGTGAAGTTAAGTCTTTCAGTTGGAGCATTGCAGGCATTGTGTGTTGAAAGGGATGCTGGGGCACTCGAGCTACCACCCACTGATGTAGCTAGGGGATGACGCAGATCCTGCGTATAATAGTCAAAAATAAAACTGTTCTGTGGGACTCAGGGTTTTACTTTATCACTATAGCTGTCTCCATCTAGTAATCTGTTACAGAGAACTAATTGYATGTTAGCTGTGCTATTGCTGACTGCATGCTGCCTGCAGAAAAAAAACAAGCAGGCACAGAATCCCTCCAGCTTTTTCACAGCACAAACCAACTGTTTCATGTTCAGGGTAGGGGCTTGAAGAACGGAAACTCTGGCGGGGGAAATACCAACTGGTTGAAAGCAGCACTTGGGCTAGGAAACAGAATGTGACAGTGGGAGGTGCTGTGGGACAGTGACACCTGCCAGCCCAGACCTGCTGAGACTGAGCTGAGTCTGTTTTTAACGCTATCCTAAAAGGAAGAGTGCCGAGTACCTTGCATTCCTTCAGTGTTCTTCCCCTTTCCTTTGGGAATGACGTCTCCAAGCCCTTCTCAGCCCCCCTGGTTAAAAGGGGACACAGTTCACACTCTTCTGTGTGCAGCTACTGCGTTTCCTTTCCAAATGTGAGGCGTGTTGCCAGGCAACTCTGGGATTTAGAACCCGTAATTATTAATGACAGACAACTATATTGCAATAAAGGCTTGCCAAACTGTTTGGACTGTCCTGTATCCTCCTTGTTAGAGGTTTGGGTTTTTTTTGTTTGTTTTTTTTTTTTAAACTTTCATTTAGTTCTACAATCATTACTGGGTGCACAGCCTTGGAGAACACTCCCATACATGCAAATGGTCACCTGCAAAACTCTTGCTCGAAAGGTTTCCACRTTTCAACAGCTCTGCCCTCACTGTCGTCTTTCTCCAGGTGGTCGTGGTGTGGAACACAGCTCAGGTGACCGGTGGCGGAGAGGTAGTTGTGCTGGCCAAAGCACACACAGATGTGGACATCCAGACTTTGAAGATTGCTTTTTTTGATGATACCAGGTAGTGTGCAAAGGAAGCGTGGATTAACAGTGCAGGATCAGGCACTGCTGTGGGGAGGCTCACGGCACTGCTGTGGGGAGGCTCACGGCACTGCTGCAGTTCAGGCTGGCAGGCACAGAGCACCCCCGTGCCTCTGGGATGCTGAGGATTCAGAGCAGTCTCTGCTCAGGAGCATCCTGTTCTTTGTTCTCGCTATCAGCATGCCTCAGTCTGCTGCCCTTAAGCATTAGCCCTTTACCAGGGGCTGAACAAATCCTTCCCGGCTCCTCTCACAGTCTCTTGTGCGGCAGGATGGTGTCGTGTGGCAGGGACAACGTGCGGCTGTGGCGGCTGCGGAGCGGAGCGCTGCGCTCGTGCCCCGTGAACCTGGGCGAGTACCATTCCCTGGAGTTCACCGACCTGGCCTTCGAGGAGGGGCAGTCGGCAGAGCGGGAGCCGGACGACCGCACGCTGTAAGGGGCGCCTGGGGTCCACGTTTGCCTTCCCRTTGGGCTGGAGCTCTGCAGCCTTCTTTGGATGAGTGGAGGAGGCCACGTGCAGCCGTGGCCTTGACATCCTTCTTTCTCCTCCTTTCTGGTATTTTGTCTGGATTTTCCCTGCAGAATACAAGTGCCTTATAGAGCTGGGAAAGCCTCTACCTTCCCTCAGCATGCTTCTCTTCCCAAAAGAAATTCAGATACTTTGCAGAATAGCACAAGAAATTTTTTTTCCTCATTTGTGTCCTGCTGATGTCTTGACACTCAAGTACRTAGTGATTCTTTCCCCCTGCCTGAAGCTTGTGGTTAATTTTCTGTTGGCAGGGGGATGAGTTTGGTATAGCACTTCTTTTGGGTATAAAAAAGTGCATACTTTGTGTTATTTTAATCATCAAACCAAGGCTATTGTTGCTATCCCTTATTGTTCCCAAAAGGCAGAACTGTCAGTTCAAATGACCTCTGCCTTCCTCCACAGGCTATCTTATACAGCAGAGATAATTTTCGTTTTGAAGTCCACACTGAACTTTTAGCTCTTTCATGGATTAGTGTTTCAAAGGGACAGAAGGAAAATAGGGAGCTCTAACTTGAGCCCTTGGTTGTAGATTCCTGGGTTAGCTCACGGGAAGTCTCTCTTGGACCCCTGCTTAACCTTTTGTGTTACTGTGAATTGGAATTCCTTTTCATCAGGCAGACGGAGTTTATCAGGTTACTCTGTGCCTCTTGACTAAAACTTGCTGAAACACACTGTCAACCCCGGGTTTTACAAAATAATGCCTGCCAAGTTGCTCTTAACCTTCAGATCCTGGAGTAGGGATCTTTGTCCTTTCCAGGTTTGTCTGCAGCAAGAGCGGCCACATTCTGGACGTGGACTACAAGAACGTCTGCATCAGGAGCGCCCGGCGGCTCCTGCCTTCCCAGCCCCAGCACTGTCACCAGCCAGAAAAGCCAGGCTGCAGCGCAGGTAGGGCTGTGGGGACTGTGTCCTGGCACAAAGAAGGGAGCTAGCTCAGGACTGGCTCAAGAACGACCAGGATCAGAAATAAATTTAAGCAATTTTCTGGAAAAATAAACCCGCTGTTTAGCTACTGCTAAAGGTTATGGTGGCGTGATTGAATCATTGCTAGCTAACTCTTTTCCCCTTAAGTGCTACAGTAACCTTAGTGCAGCAAAGTATCATTTTAAGACAGAATATTGGCATGTTAAATGCTGATTACTACTTTTAGGAACATGAAACAAGGTCTTAATTTGCTGACAGGATTCTTATGTAGAGATGTAGAAAGAGCTAAGCAGATCGATGGAAAGATAGATGTTGGGGATTTGTTTCATTATTCAGCCTGTCTGAAGTGTTTGGGAATTCTTTCATGCTGTATACTAAGTAGTACAACTTTCAGCTCTTCCATAGATTTTTTTAAAAGCAGGAAGAATTCACTTTAAAATGTGACTGCTCTTGTATCTTAAAATTTATTGCATGAACTATTAAATCTAGAGCATGCACCTTTGAGAGGTATGTAATTCCAACTCTCTCTCCACGGTTGATAAAATGAGTAATAGAAGATTTAACATGGTCCTTGGGTTTCTCAGTGGCAACACTGCTTGCTCTATCCAGTGCTTTGTCCAATGGACTTTGTGCCAAAATCAAAAAACTTGTTGCTTTCCCAGTATATATCCCAGTAGATATATAGTTGCCCACGCTTATTCCTGTCTCACTTCTCACTATGCTGCAGAGGAGACTTGAGACAGGAAAGGAAACTGTTTTGTACCCTGAACAGCTACCAAAGACATTCCTTGCACAAGGTCTTGTTCAAGCTATGAGTGGGATAAGAAATGCATTGCCTGGCAAGAGTAAGTAGAGTTGCACTGATGGTAAACAGTAGTGCTGGGAGCAAATAGGTTTTGAACTCTTAGAAGGAATAAGTAAGATTTTTGCACAGAGGTAACTTGCACTGTCGTTTGCGGTGGGACTTCTTGTATCTTTTTCAAAGATGTTCAGTTGCTGGAGCAGGTGGACTATTGAGCTCTGATTTGGATGGAAGAATCCTGGTTTCTGTTTTCTTGTTTCTGCCAGTGACCTCAGTAGCTTTGTGTTCTGGCTTTCAGGCCCTGGGATCGCTATCAACAGTATTAGCATCTCCTCAACCTTTTGTGCCACGGGCTCAGAAGATGGTTATCTGCGACTGTGGCCGCTGGACTTCTCTACTGTCATGTTGGAGGCAGGTGTGTAGATCTGGGAAAGGAGCTTCTGAGTTCTGAATCTGTATCAGCCTGTCCTATGAAGCAAAGAATCCCCTGCAGTTCTGCTGAAGTTATTCTCATAAATGAGTGCTTTTTCAAATGTGCTATAGTCTAGTCTTGGGAAGTTGTCTCTTCAAGGACAGTTAATTCATGTTCTTTCTTGGGAGTTCGGGGAGAAAGATGGGAACTCCTGGGTAAGAACAGGCAGCGTAACTTGATCTCTGTGCTCTTGCACCCAGAACTCCTCTATCCCATCAAAAACTAGAGGAGTCGAGCAGTTCTTCTGTCTCTGAAAYAAACAACATAAAAGCAGAGCCCAGGAACTTTTAGAAAGAACATGGGTTAACTTGGCACTAAAYTGAACTCTGCAAGCATTTAATCTCTAGGTCATGTTCATTTCTGCAAGCARTACTTTCCTAACTGTGAATGTGGTTCCATAACTTTGATCCAGATGCTTCTTGTTTTTTCCTGGACCATGTACTGAYTAGTTTGTCTCTTCCCAGAGCATGAGGCTCCAGTGAGTTCTGTCTGCATCAGCCCAGACACCCTCAAAGTTTTGTGCACAACCACCACCGGGAACCTGGGCTACCTGGATATAGAGTCCCGAGACTATAACACCCTCATGCGCTCTCACACGGACACAATTTTGGCATTTTCTGTGGAGGGAATTCGGAAGCAGATGGCAACAGTCTCTCAGGATAACACCATCCGAGTCTGGGACCTTGTGACCATGCAGCAGGTAAGTGCAGAGAGAGATGTTAGATATAGATTTATTAATAGTTTGCCTTGTCTTTGTTCAGTTATTGAAGTTTTGCTCTTTAAGAGCCCTTAAATGTCTTCCCTGAGGCATGGGGTTTAATATGGGTTAGAAATCCTTCTGAGGCATGGAGTTCTGAGACAGYTATTTACATGTTTAATTTGGCTCTAGCTTTTGAAAGCAGAATTAAACAGAAGAGTAAAAAAATACATATTTTTTTCCTCCATCTCTTGGAAGTAGCTGGTTAACACAGGACACAATACTCAAAGGATTTATCCAGATCTCCCTGAAGACCCTGGATTTCCCTGGGCTTTAGGGGAAGCCCTGCAGGGATTAGGCTTGCGTTGTGGGAACAGGCTCGCAGTGGAGGTCTGAGGGTGTTTTGCTGCATTACCYGTGCCTGCCAGGTACTGATTTATCCAGCTTCATGCCCGTGGCTCTGTCTCTTCCCYGCAGCTGTATGACTTCACAGCTGCAGACGAACTGCCGTGTGCTGTGGCCTTTCACCCTGCCCAGCAGATCCTCGCCTGTGGCTTCGACAGCGGGATCGTGCGAACCTTCAGCTTGGCTGCTTCCAATCTCCTAGTGGAACACAAGTAAGTGTTTCATAGAATCATGGAATCCTTARGGTTGGAAGGGACCTCTAGAGATCATCTCGTCCAACCTCCCTGCACATGCAGGGTCACCTGGAGCACATGGCACARGATTGTGTCCAAGCGGTTTTGGAAGATCTCCAGAGAAGGAGACTGCACAACCTCTCTTGTCAGCCTGTTCCAGGCTCTGTCACCCTCACTGTTAAGAAATTTTTCCTTAAGTTCCTGTGGAACTTGTCGTGCTTCAGTTTGTGGCCGTTTCCTCTAGTTGTATCAGTAGCCACCACTGAAAAGAGGCCTCCCCCTCCTCCTCACTGCCTCCCTCGAGGTATTTACACACACTGACCAGATCCCCCCTCAGCCTGCTCTTCTCCAGGCTGAACAGGCCCCGCTCCCTCAGCCTTCCCTCATAGGGCACAGGGACCATGTTCCAGGTCCCTGATCATCCTCGTAGCCCTATGCTGGACTCTCTCCAGCAGCTCCACATCCCTCTTGTCCTGGGGAGCCCAGAACTGGACACAGTCTCCAGATGCAGCCTCACCAGGGCTGCATAGAGGGGGAGGATCACCTCTCTCGACCTGCTAGAGACACCTTTTTGCAGTGGCAGTTGCACCCATGTGTGGGGTAAAGGCTGGGTGTCCTGGCAGGAGCCACAGTCATAATCTTGGAGCTGGCTCTGTGCTGGAAAAGTCATTTTCTCAAGCTTGTCAATTCATATGTCCCAGTTAAGTAGTTCTCAAGCCTGGTATGCTGAGGGTTTGGTTAAGAATGCAACCTCAGAAAGCTCTAAGAGCTTTACATTTGGGGACTTACTAGCTGAGGGTAGGGAAGGGGCTGGGGAAACAGACAGCTGTCCTGGAGATCAATTGAAGAGGAAGCCTTTGTGACCCTTGGCATGGGAAATGGAGGATGCTCCAAAGGGGGATGAGCACATCCCAACCAGGGACAGCAAGGCTGTCCACCAAAAAAAGTATTCATTGTCCTGGGCTGCTGCAGGCCAAAACACAGTGGGGTTCTTTTCCTGTTCGTTGCCAGGTGTTTAACTGTATTGCATTGGATGTTGCTTCTCTCTATTTATTTATTTATTTATTTTATTTCTCTGTCTCATCTCTCTTGTTGTCTGCCTTTCTTTTTAGGCAGCACCGTGCTGCTGTTACTGGTCTGACCTTCTCTCCAGATGGCAATTTCATGTTCAGTTCTTGTTCACAAGGAACTCTGGCTCTCTACAACTCTGCGGTGCAGAAAAGCCCTGTCCTCAGAGTCCTGGGTAAGGCTATGGAGTTGATGCAAGTTGCCTCTTTTTTCCTTTCTTTTCAATAGCACAGACATCCTACTGCAAAGTCAAACCAGAGACAACCTACTCTGGGAGAGAGATTTTCTGAAGGAGCTTCTGAGCTGTGTCAGTTGCATTTATGTAGTGTATGGGAGCAAATTTTAGTGACTGGTAACCCCCCCATACCAAGCCTGATTCAAAAGCTTTCAAATTGCTTGGTGTTTCAGTCTTGTGAATGGGCTGAGTTGCACAGAGCTGCCTTTTTGCATCTGGATTCAACCATATATTGTTTGGCAATACAAGCCTAGTGTTTTTACCTAGTCAAGTCCTAACCTAACAAGTCCCAACCTAAGTTTTTTGTGTGTACAGTTTCATGTGTTTAAGCTGAATCACTTCTCTAATCCTACCTGTAGCACAGCCACAGAGTTGTGCTGATAAACAGAGAAGGTGGAGGGCTGCAGGCAGGGGTGAGCAGTGCCAGGGGAGAAAGGTGATTTTGAAAAATTAATGTTTTTGAAATTAGCTGTGGCAGCACAGGGAAGCTTATAGAGAGGAAAGGATACATTACGTTACGCAATACGTTATACAAAGAGGAAAATTCTGCCCCAGTAGGTGTGCAAAGTATGTGGAAAAGGAATAGCAGCCCAGAGAGATCAGAGAGCTTGTCCAAAATCACCCAAATTTGGTGTCAGTGCTGTGACTGGAATGAGGTACTTTGATTTCCCTCCAATGTCAGTGCTGATCACTAGCTGTGTTCCCAGGGTGTAACAGTGGCAGTGGGATAGATGCAGAGCAATCCCTTTGATTTCTGTGATTCTGTGACCTTTAGATCTCTGCAGTCACTTCCTTCTGGTAGGGATTTAGCCACCCCTGGAGTAGCTGCGGAGTCRCATCCATAGCTGCTTGTTACAGCTTCCTGCAGTCTTAAAAAAGATTAAGCAGTAACATGCATTTTATTTCGATTACCTTTTTTTTCGTGCCTGCCTTGAACATACTGCAAGCCCAGTATCTAGACTTTCCATGAGGTGGTTCCATGCACACTTTGGATGCTGCAGATGAAATTTCTGTCATCTTTCACAACAGAGGTTGCTCCTTTCTCGTGGAAACATTAATCCTAGGTTGATTTAGATTCAGAAAAAGATCACAGAGTCATTAGGTTGGAAGGGACCTCTAGAGATCATCTAGTCCAAACCCCTGCTCCAKCAGGGACACCCAGAGCACAGGGCACAGGGCGGCATCCAGGTGGGTTTTGAAGACCTCCGGAGAAGGAGACTCCACAGCCTYCCTGGGCAGCCTGTGCCAGAGCTGTCACCCTCACGGTGAAGTAGTTCTTCAATGCAGCTCCCTTGTCTACTACGACTAGTTTTGAAGCAGTCCTTCAAAATGCAGCTCCCTTGTCTGCAGCAGCGTCACAAAGGCAGCTGGTTGCAGCCTGTTCTCTCTGTTCATCTCTTCACTCTCTTCCCTGGGCCCYCAGGTAATGTGGTGGTCCGGGAGGCTGGGAGCAGTCCTGGTGCTTTGGCTGTTAGTGAGGACAGCCGTCTCCTGGCCTTTGTGGGCCCCTCCAAGTTCATCGTGACCGTGATGGAGGCCTGCTCTCTAGATGAGGTACCCACCAGGTTTCTTTATSGTTCCTGTGGAAGGCTGGGGAGGGGGAGACATGCTGTAAGGTACTGCAGGACAGGAGAGGAAATTCCTATAGGCCTTATTAAATAGGATAGGTCAAGAGCTTTGTGTACCCTCAGTTTTGGAGAAGGCACTTTAGTGCACAGCAGCCAGTTTGGGGTGGTTATCATGAGCTTTGTCTTCCATTCTGTGAGACAGAAGCAGTAAATTCAAGGTTTCTTCTTCTCCAATTTCATTGTCCTCTAGAAAGATAATTAGGAGGAAAGCTGCATGGACTATCRGCTCTGCTCCCTCTTTTTGAGCTGCTCTACTGGGTAGATACTTTACCTCTACCCTGCAAAATCTCATTAGATGGCTGTCTGAGTGACAGGGCTTGGGGAATCTATGACATGTGATGGGGAAACCATGAGAGAAATCCTCAAGGTTGCCCAGCAGCCCTTTTGAGGCTTCCATGGTATTTGTTCTAGGATGTTTGTTCAGTAGCTCCTTGTTTCACAGCTGCTAAAGGTGGACATCAGCATCTTTGATTCGAACAGCACAGCCCTGGGTTCAGCAGTGAGGATCTGCTTTGTTCCTGTGCCCCAGGGCCACCTCCTGGTATCCACGTCCTCCAATAAAATCCTTGTGCTTGATGCAAAAACTGGGCGACTGGTGCGAGAGGTAGGATGCTATGAAAATCACACACTGAGTTCTTGCCTTATCTTGATTTGTCTCACTGTTGGGGGATAAATGGGAGAGCATCCTGCAGCTCACAGGCTCTAAACAAAACATAATGGACAAGCAGATAGCTGTCTTAATGTGGTCATGCTTCAGGTGAGCCTGAACTTGTCCTTGTTTTCCATGCTGTCACACTGCTGTCATTTTGCTGAAGCATCAGGGCCCAATAAGCTGCTAAAGGCAGTTAAAGCAAACCTTTTGAATCACGTGGCAGTGGATGAGGTGTGCACATGGGACTAATTACCCTATCTCACAGGTGGGCTAGTGAAACACCCAACGAGCCCATCAGAGCACTGGAGATGATCTAACTCTGTCATAGTGAATCTGTCCACAGTGTGTTCAGTTCACCTACAATCTTTGTCTGCCTCGTGATGCAAAAGGCTAGGAAAACAACAGACCTTTGTCAGGAATACTGGACATCTCTGGTTCATGTAGTTTTGAACTACTTTTTCACCAGAGTCTGAAAATACTCCGCTTCATTCTTCTCCATCTAATGAATCTGCCTATTTTTTTGGTGCTCAGACAGTGATTAGCTTGCTGACAGTGAGCTAGCTCAGTCAATGCTCATGGGGCTGTGTCTTATCCTCAGGTGCCTCCTGTGCACAAGCTGTCCTGCTCTTCCTTGTCGCTAAGCAAGGATGCCAAGTACCTGCTCACTGCTGGGGACAAGGTTGTCAAAGTGTGGGACTACCAGATGCGCTTTGATATCAACTTCCAGGTATTTCAACTAAGATATCTTGGTTATGTTAGAATAACTGAGAGCTGGGATAAGGCTGTGGGGTTTTCCAACTTCTGCTTATTTCTTTGGATCAGTATGTTTAACATAAAGCRTATCACTGAACACTGGAGATGTGGTGCTGAACTCAAAGAAGATTCTCTGCTGAAATAATTTAGATGGAAGTTTCCTTCACTGGGTATCCAGGGCAGGGAGTCTTGTAACCACAGTCCTCATTGGGCAGAGATGGTGATGGAGTCTGGGAAGCTGAAGTCCTCCTCTCTCTCTCTCAGGTGTACATTGGCCACTCGGAGCCAGTGCGACACGCTGCCTTCACCCCAGACCAAGAGCATGTTGTCAGCGTGGGAGATGCCATCTTCCTGTGGGATTTCCTAGCCCCGTCTGCAGAAGAGTCACCRCCAGCTGCGTGAGTGCCCCATGCTGGGCAGTGCTTTCCCCTGCTCTTCTTTACCTCTGCTGCAACATTGCCCAGCAGTTTAACTTTGGTCTTGTTGCCTTTCCAGTGCACGTTCTTCCCAGCCTGACCTGCCTCCCACGGAAGGTGAGTTTGGCTCTTCCCCTGAGTTGCATTGCTCAGTGTATTAGCAGCTTTTCCACAACTGCTCTTCATTGGTATAGTAGGTGGCTCTTCAGGGTGTAGTAGGTGGCGGGGTGGGGATTTTTAGTTCTTTTGGGGAGAAAATTGATGCTCAGAGCTTTTCTTTCACAGAAAGGAGCTCTGAGAAGCTCAAGGATGCCACTGAGATTCCTCGGCAGAYTGCTCCTCTTCCACTGTTGCCCTCGCCACCATGTCTGGGTGTTGGTTCTGTCCACCAAGTGGGATGTCGTGGTAAGAGAAACCCCCTGTAGGAAAGGGAGAGTTGATTTRGGGAAAACTCCCTGTCACCAGCACTGTGAGTACAGAGCAGCCCTGAAACATTCTCTGTCCCATGTCCCCTTTGGAGGCTGAGAAATGGCGCTTTGCATTTCCCTTCCTAAATCGGATAAAGCCGCCCAGAGGGGTAGGCAGAGATCACCCCCTTCAGCACCCGTTTATCATCTGCTCTATAAGTGAGCTGCTGACATAGCTTTTGTGAGGGTTATAGTAAATATTTTGGACATACCTAGTGGGAAATGCCCACTTTGCACTTCACCCTACACATAGGTTGTTGAATAGCACAGGAAAATGACATTGCCAMAAATCAAAGGGGGGGTCACACCTACAGCAGTTCTGAATCACACAGGTAGTTCTCTTTTCCCACCAATTTTTCTCTTCAGGTATTTTCTCTGAGTCAGATGAAGAGGAAGAAACAAATCTCCCAAGCAGCAGCCAAACGGTGGCGGACGGAGACAAAGACTCCTCAGTCCTTGTGGAGTCATTGAGGAGTGAGGAGCCTTTTGTCGTGAGGCCCAAAGTGAGACAGGAGAGCTCAAGGTCTCCCCCTCACTCTGGAAACGGTAAATCAAGGRGTATTCTCATCTTCTAAAGGACTTGGCTCCTTAGGTACAGTGGGTACAGGCCTGCAGGGCAGCACAGCTCTGTCCCTGAAAAAATGAGGAAATATCAGTATAAATATGGGTACGGATAGACCCAAGGCAGCACTTAACACACTGTTAGCTCACTCGCCAGACACGTGTTCTGAGCTGAGAGATGAAGGCCAGCATGTGTTCCTAGGGGTTCTTCCCTTGTCCTGGGCCTAATTTGCCAAAGGAAATCATCATTAAGAGAAACTTATGCTCATTTCTAAAACTGCTTGTTTGTCTGGCTGTTTCCCCACTGCTCCTCTAGGCCTGCCAGAAGCCCCTCTTCAGCTTGTCAGCTTTGAAGTGGCACATTCTATTAAACCCAGCTGAAATTAAAGCTCCCAATGCCTCTATTAATAGATACCCAGCCTGCAAGCTGCAGCAGTTTGTGGCTGGCTGCCAGAAGCCTGCAGCTGCCAGCGCTCCCAGCCTCGGGCAGGATTTGCTGGAAAGCTTCAGCCTAAGAGTATGGCTGCTGGTCGTATTAAAGGCATCTTCCCAACCACGTGGCTTATGCTTTCGCAGCACGAGGCGTTTGCCTTTGGGCTGTTTGTAGGGTGATGCGATGGTTTTGAATAGGACGATGGAATCGGGTGGGTATTTGTTCTTTGCTGCTGGATGTCTTTCCCGTGGTCAGGCATGTAGCAGCGTATGTGAGTGCCATCCGATTTTCACCTCTCTCATATGTTGGTGTGTTTGCACATATGTACCCCTCCCCAGGGTCATGGGGCATAGCAAGGCACAACCCAGCTGCTTCTCGCAAACCATTCCCACGTGCAGTTACACGGGTATTTTCTTCTTTGTGTGGCAGCATCCAGAAAGGAGACCAAAGGTCCTAAATCCCAGTGCTCCGYCCGCCCAGATTCCTACCGGCATTTTACTCCTCGCTTTAAGGCATCAGTGCTCCCCCAGGTGAGAATCAGGGCACTGCTGGGCACCTCAGCAGGTGAAGAAGAGGCATTTTGGGGCTGGGATAGGCAGCTTTTCAAAACAGTTTCCATTTTATACTTCAGTTGAAAGCAATTTGTGAAATATACCCTTGGGTCTGGTGTTCAAATAGAAACCCTTAATATTAGTCTCGCTTGCTCTTCAGCACGCTGCTCTTTCCAGACCAGTAAAAAGTGAGTTGTGCTCAATTCTTGTTCCGTTCAGCAAATCTGCATAAATTTTTATTCAAAAGAAATGGAAATGGCATGCGCTATAGAAAGTGAAAGACGGGTGAGCAATGAAGTGATTCATCGTGCACCCATATTTGYGAGCAGATGCATTGGCAGAGCAGGCTGGGGAAGGCAAGCTATCTAGTGTAGTGGAGATAGTCAAGGCATAGCTCTTGCTCTGTTAACAAACAGAGCAATAACAAAACAGAAACTTAACCTTTTTCTAAGCTCTGCTGTTCACTGTGTAGGCAGAACAGCTACATTCAGTTTGTTCCCTCCATTTTCTCCTCTACCTCCCTATACACCTCTTGTAGCATTTTCCCCCCAACTATCTTCCTATTCAAACATCTACATCACTAAGTCAGCAAAACCCACTGAACTCTTTCCTAGAAGGATTAACAGCTGCTCATAGGCTGGGCGGTTCGTGCCAGCCTGTTTTGTGCCCCCTGTGAATGTATCTGTGCCTGTTTGGCTGGTGCAGTTTCTCTTTTTTTTATGTATAAGTGTGCACTTTGGTCTTCATGCATTAATTCATTGAATTTGTACTGAGTTATGTGAGCATTGACATGAACTTGTGTATAAGAATATGTGTTTGTGCTGGCATGCTTCCTTTTTCCTGTGTGAGTCTTGTGTGTACCTGAATGGGGCATCGTTCTAGAGCTTATTTTAAGTCAGTGACTACTTTTCTTGCAGAGTTTCTCATCTCCTCCAGCTGGCCATGAGGTCTTGAAGCTAAAAGCAGTGATTGGCTACAATGGAAACGGCAGAGGGAATATGGTGTGGAACCCAGACACAGGTACACTTGGGATGGCTCTGGAGAGCTGTCTGGGCACATGCACTGAGCCAGCTTACAACCTTCTGGCTGTTGGGCTACGCTCTTTGCCTTAATACAGTGATTCTTTGTGTTGAGAGAATCCAGTCTTTCTTTTTATTTGCTTTTTTATTTTAGTTATGGGCAAGAGTTAGAGGATACAGGCATATTGGAGAACACTGTTGGCAGGGCAGCCTCAGGCTTTAGATGCCAAGTGGCTAGAGCAGGGGGAAGGCTGTTACAAAGGCCATCTCCCCTCTTGTTTTCAGAGCTGCAGTGATGCCCTACAGCTTTGCTTTGCTCAAGTTAGGGGAAGAGAGATTTGCCCTAACTCCCCTCTCAACCTGATAGGAAGCAGGCTGCATTAGCTGTGTAGAAGAGTCAGCTTTTATGTATCATTGTCATGTAAGTTATAGTGGTTGCTGTATGTGAAGCTTTGCACGGAGAACTCCCCGTCTCCTTATGTTATGCTCCCTAATAGGCTTCTTTGCCTACACCTGTGGTTGCATCGTTGTGGTTGAAGATTTGCACTCAGGGTCGCAGAACCACTGGCTTGGCCATGCTGAGGAGATCTCTACACTGGCCGTCAGCCACGATGCCCAGGTAGGAGCRACTTCTGCTTCCCTGGGGCTGTGTTTTTCATGTGATCCTTTGGGCTGAAGGCATGTTAACGAGGGAAGTCCTGTTCATCCTTCTGCCTGCTGCCTGGATATGTGGGATTATTGGAATAACTAGTCTTGAAAGATCTTTATTTTATTTGCTGTGTTTACTCAGTGTGACACTGAAGCTTTCAGCCTTCTTCTGGGTGATTGTACCTCTGAGCATTAGGTGATAGTGATTCTTATAGAATTTTTCATTTGGTAACTGTCTTTAATTTGAGTTATGAAGATTAATCAGCTAATGAACCATCTTCTAATTACTTGCTGAAGTCTCAGTGACAGCATATTGTTCTGCTAGGCTCTTGCCTCTGCTTCGGGACGGAGGAATGGAGACTCGCACTGTCAGATCTGCATCTGGAACGTCCCGGATGGGGTTTGCACAAGACGCCTCTTCCATCATGAGACACAAGTGCAAGCCATGGCATACTCTTGGGATGACAGATTCCTCATTACGTTAGGTCAGTATATCTCTAACTGCAAGGTATAAGTGTGTAAGTATGCCCTAGAATAGACGGTTCATGGAAGGAATGTGCTGTAAGTGTAAAGTCTGCAAGATGTGTGCCAGGCTCACGTGGGTGTGAAGTTTGTCCAGCAACTGTTGCTTGGTAGTCTTGGCACCGGGCAATGTTTTCACAGTAAAATTGCCAGGAAGCTGCTTAAACTGAGTATTTAGTAATGCAGCATATTAAACTGCAAGTGATCTCAAGTCCTTTTGTGAGTGGCCACATGCAGATGGGCTCCCAGGGCAGCACTGAGAAGGGGAAGCATGTGCCCCCTCATCTTGGCTGCAAATATGATGGCTGGGGCCACACCAGCTCACATTCAGTTCTTTCTCATTGCCCCAGTAAGCTTGTTTCCAAATAATAGTGCTCTTCTGGCTCATCAGTGCTTGTTAAGCTTATGTAAATAGTTTRCAGTTACTATATATAGTATCCATAGGGAAATGCCTTCTTCTGGACTTCTTATTGTTGCTTAGCTGGAATTGCACAGAAGAAGCCAGGCTTCAAACTGTGAACCGCCTGCCAACCAGTGATGCCAGCACAAGATGGACACTCAAGCTGTCTGCTTTGTTTAAGCAGGGGTTATTTGAAGGACAAATATGCAATTAGTAAGCTCTTGTTTTGCATGAGAGAGGACCTGTGGAGCAGGCGACATATTCCCTCTGGGCTGGTGAGTCTGCCCTTGGAAAAAAAAAACAAAAAGCATTGCCCTAGAAAAAGGGAATGGGATTCTGCAGCTTTGTGTTTTCCACATAGCACAACGGGAAAGAAGCTCTGTCCAGCTCTCTGCTCTGTGCAGCAGAGAGTAGAAAAGCTGATAGTTTCCACTGAGAYTGCAGAGCGTGGAAAAGGCCGGCGAGGTGCCAGTTCCCAAGAAAACACCCCTTGCTCAGCAGCACAAGGACATTCTCCTCCAGAGGTGTCTGGGAGCTGGGAATACTTGCTGTCATCAAGGTCCATACCACCAGCTGCCACCCAGGTGCTGTGCCTTCCGTTAAGATCAGTTGCCCTTCCAGCATTGACCTCAGCAGCAGCTTTGTCTCTTCTTTGTTATAAAAATGTTGCTAGCCCTGTAAGCATAATACCCCAGGAGGGACTGCAGGGGTTGGTTGTTGAGGGCTGCAGTAGCCACTGAGGCTGTGGAAACAGCAGGAGATCTGCTCTGCCTCCTGTGATTGCCACCACTCCAGTCATCAGCCAGTCCAAATGCTGGCTGGAGACCTTGGAAGTCATCAGGCTACTTACCTGTCCTCAGAGAAATAAGGATCCATCATGTTGTGCAGCTTTTGCTGTTGCTGAAGGTCAGTATATAGACCAACTCCAGCCAGCTGTGTTGTCAGTCACTTGTCTTCTGATATGAGAGAATTCACTSTATTTCAAACCTGTTTCAAAGTTTTATGTCAGCTTCTGTCTCGAGCAGTAGTTCTGTTACAGGAGTTGAACCTTGTTGTTTCCTGGCTCCTCAGGTAATTGTGAGGCTTCAGTGCCCTTAATGACAAAATACAAAAGAAAGAAGCATTTTAGTGACAGTATGCCTCAGAAGTGTTCAGTGGCTGTAGTTCAGTTGCTACAAGCTGAGTAGATCCACAGAAGATAGGAGCATCTTGGGTAGATCTCAGAACATACAGCAAGATCATCCTGAATTGTTTCTTCAGTTTTGCCCACAAAGGGTGCTTTATCACTYGTTTCAGTGCCAGCTTTGGCAGGAGCCTTTTGCAATAGTGAATAGATAAAAGGATGTCAAGTGGTTTCGCTTGCATGTCTTCCAAAAACATGAGGTTACCGTTTTCAGCTATACTGATCTGCCACGGGCTTGGGAGGAGGCCAGTCCTTCTCGCGTTCCGCTTCGCTCCTGCWCTCTGTCCCTTGGAGCTGTGACTGCAAGTCCATTTAGTCGCGTGTCCCTGTGCAGAACTGTGGGAGAGCACAATTTCCCTGGGGGTTTGCTCTTGTTGTCTTAAAGGCTGTCTCTGCTTCTCTCATGCCTTCAGAGAGCCCTTTGAACGCTTAGCTTTGAAGGAAAATAATAATATCTATGTATAATAAATAATACCTGCTACAGCTCCCTCTAATCCCTGCTGGGACCTCCAACCCCTCTCTGCAACCCCTTGCTGCAACACAACATTGATTAAGACATTGATTTAGATACTGTGAYTTGAGACTCTACCACMTCTGCTTGTTCTACCCCAGCRGTACTCTGTGCTGTGGTACCTGGCACATGCCAGCTGTGCCTACCATAGATCGTGCTCTGGATGTAGGTCTGTCCTAGCACCTGATGTGCTGTTACAACCATGGATGACAGAGCTGAATGCCCAAMCTAACAGCAGGTCATTTTTTACGTGCCAGGGCAGAGCCACTGCCATTGCTGGGGCCAGTCCTCTTTAATATCTTTATTGATGATCYGGATGARGGGGTTGATTGCCCCCTCAGCAAGAYGCTTTGGCTTAGGACAGTGCTGGTAGCCATCATCTCTGAACAACTGGATAATGCCGTGACAAACTTGATGCATATATGTACAATGAATATTGCTTAGGCCATCCAAAAGAAATGGGACAGCTGCAGAATTTCTTCCTACTGTCTTTCCTAGGTGACTACAGTGATCAAACTATTGCTCTGTGGAGTACGTACACTTACGAACTCCTATCATCGACTCGCATCTCGGAGCCAGTCCATGACGTGGCTTTTAGTCCTTTTGCACACGGAGAATTGGCCTGTGTGGGAAGGGGAGCAGTGACATTTTGGGCGTTGGAGCAGCAGGGAACTGACTTCAACCTCAAGGTAAATCTCTTGTTTATATTCATGTTCAGCACCTTCCTTTTCCAGCTCCCTTGGCGAGCGAGAGGGAAGCGCTGCCACTACAAGGCTTTGTGGGAGTTGGTTTCCCTTAGCAAGATGATGCTGCCTGACCATGACTGGCTCTTAATTGCATGTGATGCAATAACTAAATTGTGTAGGTGGGTGATTCTTTTCTTTCCTGTAGCTAAAACACAGCTTTCTCTTTGGTCCKTTTGTTTTATGTGGCTTTGGCAGGTTCACGAGGCCCCTGTCCCTGATATATTAGGAGTGGTGGAACTGACCTCACTGTGCTACGGTACCGACCCTCTTCTTTATAGTGGCACCAACACTGGCCAGATCTGCGTGTGGGACACAGAGACTAATCGCTGCTTCATGACATGGGAGGCTGATGAAGGCGAGATCGGTGAGTGCAGATGCCCCAGGCATCCATTGGGATTGTATTAAATTCCACAGAAACTCATGGGGAAAGATCATCTATGAGCTTGCAGGCTTTCGTTTTCAGCTGTGTCCCTGTCTTTGGAGAACTTTGTTGCTCTGTCAGGTGCAAGAATGGAGTGACAGTGGATCTGTGACCCAGATTTCCTTGCCAGAGATGAGTTCAACTCTAATCTTTAAAGAAAATCTATATAGACATGTGAAGACATATAGACATATCTAAACACAAATCTATAAAGACCCTGGGTATGGGGTGCAGTTCCCTGCTGTGGTGGAACCTCCCTGCCCACCTCAAACGAATCAGCTGGGCTGAGAGCAGCAGATGCCAGACGCTGTCCGTGAGCCGTGCGGTTCCTCCAGGTGCTGTTTGTCCCCTTGTGTCCCCAGGCGTGCTGCTCTGCCGGCACCAGCGGCTGGCCAGCGGCAGCAACACCAAACGCATCCGGCTGTGGGCAGTGGCAGCCGTGGAGGAGCTGAGGCTGAAAGGCTCCRACGCCAGGTAGGAGGCTCGGGGCCRCAGGGTCCCTGCTGTGCTGCTTGCTCGTGGCTCTCTGCGCTCCTCGTCCGGCTGCCCCCAGGCTCTGACTAAGAGGTGGCTTCTCACGCACTGATGTCAGCTCTGACTGCAACCACGCGTTGTGTGATACCTTTCATTCTTTGCTTTTCCTCTCCATCCCATGACTGCTGATTCATTTGTTCTGGATCTTTTTCTGAATTTTGCCACAAAGAGATGGACCCTCTTGCTCCTGGAAATGGAGCTTACTATTCCTAGCACTTTAGTGATATGTAGGAACRTCTTTAAGAGAACCAGTTAAAATATATGGCTTTTGTTTTCTCTCCTGTAATGTTGCCTCCCTTATTCTCTTTCTCTTTCCTATAAAATATAGTTTCTGTGCAAGTATAACAGTAGCAAATGTTCTGTACAGAGGTCCCTCACTGAACTATCTGCAAATGCATCACARGAGGTAATAGAAAACTGGTAGGGGCAGCCTTTAAAGAGGACAGAGTGACTGTTCCAGCAGCTGAGCCAGCCTTTCCTGGGTCCTCCTTTCCTCCAGGTCTAGCTCTGTCCTGCTGGAACATGAGATGACCCTCGATGGGACAATAGTCAGCGCAGCCTTCGACGACTCCCTGGAGATGGGAATTGTGGGCACCACCACAGGAACGCTGTGGTACATCAACTGGACAGAGAGCACGAGCATCCGGCTCATCAGCGGCCACAAGAACAAGGTTAGGTGGTCTGTGAAGGAGGAGGTTTGTCCTGCAAAGCAGCTTATGTTTCGTGTGCTGCCTGTGCTCAAAGGGCCATGCTCAAAGCATGCACGGGCTGCAGAAATGTTCCCTGRACTGGTCGTGAGAGGGGAGTTCATGGAGCTGCAGGGCTTGGCTGATGTGGACAGGGCACTGGAAGAGCCCTGTGCTCCTCCTTGAGCTAACTGAGGAGTCAGACATGAAGAAGTCTGGGCTCATCCACTTTAGCCTTAGCTGTTTAACTGCCTTAGCCTGTTAATAACTGTGTGTCTTTCTGTCCGAGTGGAAAAGTGACAGTTCACTGAGTCACCAAGTTCAATGAGTACTGACTAAGGGATGCATCCTGGAAGCAGTCTTGCTTGCTAGCTAGACATCTGTACTGGGTAGAGTCTTTGCCTAAAACATTAACAGGTTTGMAGGGTGACCATTTTGAATGCTGCTGTTGCTTTGGACGATCTTTAGGCTCCACAAGAAAGTTTTCAAATGGTAGAAGAGAGAATATTACTTAAGCCTATGTCACAGAGCACCTGATCCTACCCTTGTGGTTTGGTTTACCTATTTCCTTTACAAGTCCAACTATAGGTCCCAAATTTAAGCACAAAMAGAAAACACTTCACCTTTCCTAATGTATGTGACATCTGCTGTTTCCTCTGAGAAGAGTCCTGGGGGATGAGAGGGCAGATGACAGATGAGCTCTAAACTGTGGCATTTATAAGGCCCCTTTCTTCCATCTCCGTCATTGCTGCAGGTGAACGAAGTGTCCTTCAGTCCTGATGAGACTCATTGTGCCACGTGTGGTGAGGATGGCAGCGTGAGGATTTGGTCGCTGGGCAGCATGGAGCTGGTGGTGCAGTTTCAGGTGCTGAACCAGGTAATCCTTGGGAATGCATTAATCTTTTTGCCTAGAAAGTAGGTGCTAGCCACTGTTGGGATTACAAGGACTTCTGTGTCCTCACAGGTTAGGTTGAAGCTGTGAGAAACACTTGCAGSTGCTGTGATGTGCACAGCTCTGCTGTCTTGTGTCCTCAGGTCTCTACTCTTACTCCTTTGCAGAGCTGCCAGTGCCTGGCCTGGAAGCCTCAGCCCATCGGCACCAGGCTCACTGGGAGCCAGCACGTGGTAGCAGGGTACAGCGATGGCACCATCCGCGTGTTCAGCATTTCCAGGACAGAGATGGAGCTGAAAATGCACCCGCATGCTGTGGCGCTGACAGCAGTTGCCTACTCCACGGACGGTGAGGCTGCACTCCGCTGTCCTTTACAACAGCAAGGAGGCTTCAGCTGTGCCTCGGTCATCTGGGCACAGGCCAGGCTCCCAGCAGCTCTGTGGACTGGTGTCCTGCCCAAAATCCCAACGCTGGGGAGAGCTGGAGAGCTCATATCAATGACCTACAGTAGATCCACCAACTGAGTACCTGGGAGATGGCAGGTGCATTGGCCATGGTACAGCTAAGGGCTGTGAATGCAACATACGTTCCTTTGTGTCCTTCTGTTGATAACCTACATCAGCTCTTCTTCGCATGTGGTGTTTGGAAGGGTGTCCCTGAGACAGTTTCTCACCCACACCCTGAACCAGCTGTTTCCAGCTTTTCACAGTTTGGGAACACTATGGAAAGATCTTGGATCTTTTTCTATGTTTTTTTTCCATCTCCCCCAAGAAGTGACCCATTCTGTCGTCTTTGGTCACAGGAGAAATCGTTTTGTCAGGGGGCAAGGATGGACTCGTGGCTGTGAGCAACCCTCGCACGGGAATGACTGTTCGCATCCTCGCTGACCACAAAGGCTCCCCCATCACCGTCATCCAGTGCACGAGGAAGCAGGTGAGACCTCACCACCTCTGCCCTGCTGCTCTCCTGCAGCAAATCTCCTGTGTGTCACTGCACAGCTGGAGGAAGTAGCTGCAAYGTGGCAGGGCTGGTCACAGAGCAAGCTTTGTTGTGCCTCTCTTCGCTGTTGGGTCCCCAGGACCTCTAATAACTTCTGTTCAGTTGCTCTAGGGTTATTGTCAATGGAGTAAAGGTGTAATCCTGAGCAAGCCTGTGCCTTGGAGGTGACCTGTGCTGGTACRAGCATGCTGGAGCTCTTGCCCCACAGGCTCTGCCACAGGCACCACTTTGGAGCAGCCAAAGGCTTGAGGGCTCAAGGTGGCCCCTGAGAAAGGCCACGCCATGGTCTGTGCACTGCTGGCAGCAGCAGCCTTGCCTCCTGTGTGGAGCTGTTTGTGTGGTTTGTACAACAGCATGATGTTTTTAGCCTTTCCTTTGACTTTCTGTTCATGGAGAATCTCTCTTACTTTGCACAATTTTTGAGACAAGAATAATTTTGCCTAACTTTTTAGGCTTTAAAATCATCCGTGTTTGCAAGGCTGCTTTCCCTGGTAATTCTAGGCTTACTTGATCCTCCTCASTTTTAGATGAAGGACATTCTTAGGACAAACACAGTAACTGCAAGCACTTTTCTGGGAGGACATGCAAATGCAGAGAGCATCGTAGAGGAGAGATCTGTATCGTTTGGGCCCAGCACTTGTTCCTCCTTCAGCAGCCTCTTCTGGCAGAGGATGTCAGCCCAGATCACGGTGCTGGTTTTGGTGCCAGCAGCTGCCCTGTCCTGCTGTGCAAGGACATCCCCATGGGGCAAGGCAGAGTTGCCCATGTCATTGAGCCTGATAAGAGACTTTAAGGACTGTCAGGTGAGAGATTCTAGGTTAGTCTTGCCTAATCCTAGATTATCTAATCTCTACTATGTAAGGTCTGCATTCTCATATATTTTTTTTTTCCTATACCAGTCTGTTCTTGTTGGCAGCTCTCTTTTAAAGAGTCTCTATTGCAGGAGTGGTCATGTTGCCTTTTTCCTCTGTAGTACTATGACTTTGGGGTGGAAGGCAGCGAACTGTGGCTGGCCACGAGCTCAGACCGGCGGGTCAGCATCTGGGCCTCCGACTGGCTGAAGAACAAATGTGAGCTCCTGGACTGGCTCAGCTTCCCTGCTCCTGCAGTCCCTGAGGTGAGAATGAGGCTCGCTGGCCTGTGCACACTCATGTCATGAGCCCTGTGCTGTCCCTTGGCCCCTTTAGCCCCTCTCCCTGTCTGTGAGTGGGATAAAAGGCCCCCATCAAAACACATATTAAATTGTCCGCTCAACCTAATGCATCTTAAATATGTCTTCCAAATCTGAAGGAGGGATGTTTCAGGGTTGTGGTTTCACACTGTGACTCCAGCTGCCTGGGTGCAAGTGAAATAGCCAGGTGAGTGCTGCTGTGTGGGGAGAAGGCCACACAAGTCGGGAGTTTGGGGKTTGGCTGTCCAGCTGCCAACACGCAACCCCAGGTCACACCAGTGCTGCTGATCCCTTTCAGCATGAAAATTCTCCTTGGGGCCCTCTCAAGGAGAGCTGGGGTTGTTACAGCTGGGCAGGTCAGGTACAAACAGCAAACATGCTTAGGAAAGGGAACTTCAATATGAGTTCTGCTGCTCATGGGATAAGTTGCTAATACACCTTTTAAGGCACAGGTTTGCAGTGTGAATGGCAGCACTGCCTTTGTAAGCACGAGGAGCCAAGAACTGCATTTGCAAAGAGCTAATGCACTTGTTCTGTGCGAAACAGAGCACGAGCCAGGAGTCAGCACACACAGTGCACAGAAGAGTGACCTAATGACAAGCATGCTGCTCATCTCAGCACCCCCAAACTGCATGAATATTCTGAGCTAGGAGCCCAGTGAACGAGAAGGTTTATAGAGCCAAATATACTATGTTATCCCTAAGTGCCTGTGATGGTTTGCAGGCCACTTCAGCTCCAAACTATGTGTGAGATTTGGGTTGGTAGGACAACTTCTAGGAAGTGGAGGAGGGTCTGCATTGCACAGGACATGAAGACAGCCTCAGATACGTGTGTTTTTTTTTTTTTTTTTTTTTTGTCATGTAAAAGGATGCTGGGTCTTTATGGAGGAAGCATCAGTAGCACCTCAGCCTGCTGCTTCCTGGGGTCCAGCTGTGCTAAGGCAAATACAGCAGCTGGGGTCTGTTAATGCTCCTTCCATTTGCTCCCAGAACATCTTTCTGGGAAGGACCGATCTTACGTTCAGTTCTGTAGATCTTCTGCACCCTGTTTGTGCATGCTGAAACCCATCTACAACCCACTCCCACCTTAAGCTCATGTAGGAATAATGTCCAGCCTGCTGAACCCTCACACGTCTTGCTTCTACAACAGCTGACAATAAAGAGACTTGCTTTATGTCCCCATGACCGTACGTGTTTGCTCCTTGYGTCTTTGCAGGGAGCATGTATGAGACCATAAAACTAAAGGGAGGAAGCAGACTCCATCATATTAATATCCCCAATATCCTGGTGCACCCACAGCTCCCCTCTTGGCCCTCACCCCACCTCCAGGCTAGGCATGGCTGGAGGAGCTCGCCTCACTTGTGTTGCTTTTGGTTTCCCCTCGCAGGGTCTCAGCAGCCTCCCTCCCAGCCTGGCAGCATTCTGCCCTTGGGAACACGGCACTCTGGTCTACGTCGGCTTTGGGATGCAGAAGGAAGCCTTGTTTTACAGTCTGCACAAGAAGCAGGTACTTGTGCCCTCCCTGTGCCACCCGCTGCCCTTCCAGGGCCATGGGGATTTGCCTCTGCCATGGAGTTGGCCTTGGCTCGCAATGAGCAACATGCGGGGATGGGGAAACACCGCTGCCTTGTCTTGATTTAGAAAACCTGCAGACCAAACCAGGGGGTTTTGTGGGCTTTATGCGTTGAGAGGGGTGGCTCTAGGGAGCAAGGGGCCCTCTTGGTGCATGTCCTGTGCAGATAGCACCCCCACACTGAGCAGGACCCAACACGAGCAGTAAAACAGTGTAAAGGTGGGTGGTGGGCTCAGCCGAGCAGCTGGATTTTTCTCTTCYAAAACTCTGAAGCTGCCCCAGGTAGGCAGTGAAGATAGTCTATACCTAGCTAAGGCTGCGGGTTGCCAATGCTGCCCTCCTGCTTCTCAGGSTGATGGGAGGAGGCTTTTGCTTTCAGAGGCACTAACAGTCTCTAAACTGAGTCTGCTCTGGAAACTCAGTGCCTTGGGGGATGCTGTGCATCTGCCAGCCGTTCCTTTGAGGAGCCCTTAGCCTTCCCCAAGGGTGTGACTTGAGCAGCTCCGCTCCGCCGCCTGCTCCCCTTGGAGCTGTTGGTGTTTCTCTTGCTGGCGTGCAGGTGGTCGAGAGGATCCCCTTGCCCTACTTCGCCGTGTCACTGAGCCTGTGTCCCACCGCGCGCCTGCTGGCCCTTGGCTTTGGTGGTAAGTGCTGGAGGGTGCCCTGGGCTCTGCGCCCCGCAGCCTGTCCCCCATTACCCCGGGAGGGAGGGACCTCTTCTCTCTCAAGCCCAAGCACCCTTTAGATGAGAGGTAGGTGCACACACACCCGACCACAGCCACGAATCCCTGCAAGGCACCTGGGGCAGCTACAGCCCTGGGGGTGCGGGTGGCCGCCCCCCTGCTCCGCAGGGTCTGTGCGAGGCAGGGAGGGAGCACTGGGACACTCTCACGTTTAGAAACGTGCTCACATGGGGCATGTGCTTATTCCTGAGGGAGATTTGCTYGTGTGACCCTTCAGTGCTGTAGCAGACGAGTGTCCCCGGCCTCCCCTACACCGGGGTGCAGCCACACGCATCAGTGCAGCACAGTGCTCCGACCCACGGCGTGGAGCTGCCTCCGGGCTCTCGCACCTCCCTGGCCAGCCCTCCCTGCTCCGAGGAGCTCTCCCTGTCCCTCAGCTTCTCCCAGCGCTGCTCGGAACGTGGGACAAACCCTTCACACACGAAGGGGTGGCGATGATCCGCAAAGGGAGCGAAATGGGAACGCGGGGATGAGGAGGGGAGGTCTCGCTGGTGTCAGCAATGCTCTCCGCGCGCGGGGCGAGGGTTTGAGGCGCGAATCGCAGCCGTGTCCCGCGGCGCTCACGCTGCCCTTTCCCCGCAGAGCGGCTCGTGCGGCTGCAGCGCGGCGCGGCGGGGCCGCCGCACGACCACGCCGCGCACCACGACGCCGTGCACCTGTGCCGCTTCACGCCCTCGGGCCGCCGCCTCTTCACGGCCGCCTACAACGAGCTGCTCGTGTGGGAGAGGACGGGGCGCTGAGGGCGGCCCGCCCCGCTCCGGATCCGCGCCGGATCCGCGCCGGGTCCGCGGCGGGCAATAAAGAGCGGAGCTGCGCATGCGCACGCGCGGTGGCGCGCGGCTGGGGCCGCCGGGGGGCGCGCGCGGGGCCGCGCCGCGCGCTGGTGCGGCCGGAAGCGGCGGCGGCCCCGGAGCGGCGGCGGCGGCGCCGCCATGAAGCGGGACGTGCGGATCCTGCTCGTGGGGGAGGGTAAGCGGCGGCGGGCGGGGGGCACCGGTGCTGCCGCGGGCCGGGCCGACCCCGCGCTCTCTTCCCAGCCCAGGTGGGGAAGACGTCGCTCATCATGGCGCTGGTGGGCGAGGAGTTCCCCGAGGAGGTGAGTGCGGGGCCGAGCCCGCCCGGGAGCCGCGGGGACACGGGACGGGGCTCTGCGCCGCCCCCCCTCCGGGGACACGGGACGGGGGACACGGCACCGGGCTCGTTAAGGGGACACGGGGCGGGCGCCCGGGGCGGCAGCGGCTCCGTGGGCGCCGCGGGGCCCTCTCGTGGGCTCGGGGCTCCGGTGTTGCCCGAGGTGGGTCCGGGCTCGGGGCTCCGGCCCAAACCGCGGCCGCCGAGGGGCTCCGTGCCACCGTGGGGCTGTCCCCGCCGCCCCCGCCGTCACTTGGGTGCTGTGGCCCGTTCAGGGGGCCGAGGGCGACGCGGGGCCCGTGGGTCGGTGCTAGGCTGGGCCCCAGCGGCCCCGCTTGCCTTGCAGGTGCCCGCGCGCGCCGAGGAGATCACCATCCCCGCCGACGTCACCCCCGAGAAGGTCCCCACGCACATAGTGGACTATTCGGGTAGGGACCCTTCCTCCCAGCCTCGCCTCTCGCCCTCCTCGGCGCTCCCGCGGCTGCGCCGGGGCCGACGGGCTGCCCGTTGCGAGGGGCAGCGTCCCGTGGTTGGTGACAGCTCTGTTCCCCTTCCAGAGTCGGAGCAGACGGAGGATGAGCTGCAGGAGGAGATTGCCAAGGTGAGCGGGGCTGGACGAGGCACTGGGAACGGAGCCTGGAGCCCTGCTCTCGTGCCCCTAGCCCTGCAGTTTGCAAGTGATACAGGACTGATCTCCGTTAGCCACCCAGAAACGTGCAGGCCATCGGTTACCTGCAGRTTAATGCTGTCAGCACGACTGGTGGTTTAATCCATTGCTGCCTTGTAAGCTGTGTGGTTTGTCCTAGCYTTCTGGGTGGCACCTAGAAGAGCAGCATGGGGAGCTCACTGCTTTCCAGKGGGTGGAAGGGACTGCTGAGCATGGGAGGCACTTTGAGCCTCAGGACAGATGATCCGAGGGGAGCAGCAGTCGCCAGGTTGGGCAAAACCCCAGCCTGAGGCCCCAGGCCTGCCCCATGGCGCAGTAGCACCAAGAGGTGGATTTAAGTGCCCKGGGGAGTTCGGGCTGGGGGCACCAGGGCCCCCACGTCCCTGCGAGCAGCCAGGCTCGCTGGAGGGATTCACCTGGCTGGCTGGAGGGACCGGCCCTGGATGCTCTTCTGCGCCCTGGGCTTGGCCTTGCTGCACAGAGGAAGATCTCTCCATATGAGGGATATAGCAGGTGCTCCCCTGCGTGTCTCACGTGAGCAAAGCCCTTTAATCCCCCACCTCGGGGAGCTAATGGCCGGGGAGGTGGCTCAGAGGGCGCTGGGGTCCTGCTCCCTCCACCCAGACAGCAGGAGGGCAGGGGCTTAAAACAGCTGCAGGAAATCTGCCTAAACCCTCGGGTATTCTCAGGATTAGCACTAAACTCTCTCCTGAAAGAGCCAGTGATTCCTCTTGTCCCCTTTAGATAAAGTGTTGGTGTCAGCACTGTTTAAAGGGGGTTGGAGAGCGGAAGGCAGTGGCAAAGGGCAGGACCTGGCACCAAGGAGCGAGTCCTTGACCCAAGCAGCCCGTTGCAGAGCCTGGCTTAGTGGCAGGGGACACATCAGTGCCCTAGAGCTCTGCCTTGCGCCTTGGGGCTGAGCTGCTCTCCGTGCTGCTGCATCCCTCCCTTTTCATCTGGCTTTGAGCAGCCTCTTAAGCAGCACGGGCAGAGCAGCCACACGTATGTCCTCTTCTTTAGAGGCACTCGATGCCCAGCAGACAAGGCAGCCACCCACAAGCTGCYTCAAAAAGAGACATACCCGTGTTAGTCAGGACAGGACTGCTGCGAGGGAAGGCCTGGCACAGGGTGGCTGTGCCAACCCTTAGCTGACCCTTCTGGTTTCTCAGGACCTATAAGCATCAACTGCCCTGCCCAGGGGCTGCAGCAGGGCTGCCGGGACCCTCCCTTCCCGCCCTCTCCYCTCCTCTCTTGCAGGCCAACGTGGTCTGCGTGGTGTACGATGTCACCAAGGAGGCCACCATCGAGAAGGTAAAGACCCTTCCGTGTCCGGTCCCGCTCCGGCGCTGGCATCGGTGCCGCGGGGAGCCTGCCGGGGAGCGGGTGGCTGCAGGGCCCTGCCGACGGCCGCGGCGCCCGTACCGGGAGCTGGGATCTCCCTCTGCCTCACCAGGCACTTCTGACAGGAATCCTGCTGTGCTTGCCTTTCAGATCCGTACCAAGTGGATCCCCATGGTGAACGGGGGGCTTGAGAAGGGCTCCAGGTACCAAGTCCAGTGTGATYTGTGGGTGCAGAGTTGGGCGATTCCGGAGGCTGCAGGTTCCCCATTGCCTTCCTCTCCCACAGAGGTTGTTGAGACTGGATTTGTGGCTAAACCACTTGTAGCAGCCAAATGTGGAGGCTCTCGTAGCTGCGGCAGGAGGGTCAGCAGAGAAGGTCCCTTCCCCCCTGCCCCTCCTGGCAGGCGGGCAGGGAGAGGAGGCTGCCAAGGGAGCGCAGAAGGCCAGAAGCTGCAATCTGTGCGTGGATGGTTTAAGCAGAAGGCTGCTGTGCTGGATTAAAGGCTCCCGAGCATATTGTTGCTGGGTGAAAGCATAAGCAGGATCAGGCAGTCTGCTTCTCCAGATGGGTGCTCCCGGTCGTGGGAGGCAGGAAAGCTGCTCTGGAGCCTGCGGAGGAGGGCTGGGCTCCCCAGCGTGCAGCCCAGGAGTGCGTGTGGCCGGACAGGCCAAGCCTTAGAGAGGGATGGCCTCGCTCACAATCTCTGACATCCCCTATCTCCTTCCCAGGATCCCCATTATTTTAGTGGGAAACAAGTCTGACTTGCAAGCGGGGAGTTCCATGGATGTCATCTTGCCCATCATGAACCAGTTTTCGGAGATTGAGACTTGCGTGGAGGTGAGGGAACCAGAGGGTTTCTGCAAAGCCTTCCTGAGGGGTAGGAGCACTTTTCTGGTGTGAGCTGGGGACAGCCTCATGCTTGCAGTGATCTGTGCTGCTAAGCCTCTGCAGAAGCACCTCGCCTGGGTCTTGAGGGCCTGGAGGGGATATACTGTGCCTTAGATCATCCTTTGTCTTCCTTGTAGGAAGCAGGTTTCAGTTTCTGCTCATTCTTCCTCTCGAGCTGCTAACTGGTGTTGGAGCCTATGCGCAGCTCCTGTTGCCTCCTGGGGCTGCCAGTTGGGCAGAGCTGGGGGCTGAGGAGGAGGTTTCCCATTTGTTTTTCCCTAGTAATGGGCAGTTTCCCAGTGAGYGCTTTGATGCGTTARTGTGTGGCTCGGGAACCTTGAATCRTCCTCTGGTGGTCCCTGCTCTTCCCTCTGCCTCATGKCCCCAGTCTGTTGCCTGCACCTTCRTCACAGGACTCCCTCCTCTCTTTGTACCCTAGTGCTCTGCCAAGAACCTTAAGAACATCTCTGAGCTCTTCTACTATGCCCAGAAAGCTGTGCTGCACCCCACTGCCCCCCTCTATGACCCAGAGGAGAAGCAGGTAAGAGGTGCTGCCTGATGCCCCTGTTTAACCCTGCTCCCTCGCAGCCACTGGCAGGACTCTCCTTCCTGCTGTGTCTGCAGGAGGGCAGTGCTCTGATCTGCGTCACACCTCCGGGTGACAGGGAGGACATGAGGAGCCTGTGGGGTCTGGTGATGTCTTAACAGTTAGTGTTTCTCCTCCAAGCACATGTCCACTTAGATGTGGTCAAGGGTGTAGGTTCCTGCCTGTGACTGAGGATGACCATTCTCCTACTGTGGCTGCAGTACCTGATACCTGAGCTAGCTGTGTTGGACTTTGAGGAGGGTGAAGGGTTTGAGCCCCCCTGTCAAGAACAGGAGGGAGGCAGAGTCCCTGGGGGGAGCCAGCAGGGAAGAAAATGCCTGGCTCCCCATGCTCAGTGCAGCCAGCTGAGTGTAGCCAGGATACAGAGAGATTTGTGAAATGGAAGGACACACCAAGGTGGAAGTCCTTGTGCTCCAAACTATGTGACAACCACGCTGAGAAAGGTCAGGGAGAAACCTTTTCCTAGGACCATCCAACCTTCAGACTCCCAGCTCCAAGTATCAACAATACTGGACCATGTTGTCAGAGCAGTGCAGGAATGGGCTCTGTGCCTGGGGATTCAGGGGGGAATGACCCTGGGTGAAGGGGGTGCYATGTTGTCACCGTGCTTGGTCCCTTACAGCTGAGGCCTGCGTGTGCACGAGCACTGACCCGGATTTTCAACCTCTCAGACCAGGATAATAACCAGATCCTTAGCGATGATGAACTCAACTACTTCCAGGTAGGGCTGGTTTGCTCTACATTGGCAAGAATGAGAGGCTCTGGAGATGCTGAAAGAGTCTTGCTGTGTTGGGAGAGTGAGGAACAGGGGCTGGGTAGGATCTAAGGCAGCAGTGCCTGGGATGGGTGGATTTTCTTTCCTGAGAAGGTCCTTTCACCCCTTGCCTGGGGAGAAGTGCACCAGCGAGGCAGAGGCCTGTGCTATCTGCGTGCTCTGCTCATGATGACTTTACTTTTTGGTGAGGTAGAAGTCCTGCTTTGGAAACCCCCTGGCCCCTCAGGCCCTGGAGGACGTGAAGATGGTCGTGTGGAAGAACACCACGGATGGAGTGCAGGACAACGGCCTGACGCTGAATGGTAATGGCACAGGGCTCCGTGCTCTTTCCAGGCAAGGAACAGAGGGATCCATCTGTGTCAGCGTGTTGCAGGGGAGCTTGTGCTTGCACTCAATCTCCTTGCTCTCGTTCACAGCCTAGTTCAMATTCACAGCCTAGTTCAAAGTCCCTCCTGCCAAAGCAAGCTCAAGCCTGCCATGGCTGCTCAGAGCCATCCATTGAAGTCCCCTGTTATCCTAAGGGAATGGTGATCCTGGGGGTGGATTCCTGAGGCTGAGTGCCTGGCTGTTGCTGCTGTGTCTGAGTTGCCTGGTGTCTCCTGYAGGCTTCCTCTTCCTCAACACACTCTTCATCCAGCGGGGCCGGCATGAGACYACGTGGACCATCCTCCGACACTTTGGGTACGACGATGAGCTGGAGCTGACAGATGACTATCTCTACCCGCCGTACGTATCCTGCTCTAGCATGGGGCAGGCATGGGRTGCCACCCTCGTGATATGTGACTTGGGACCCCAGCACCTTGCTAGATCCTTTCCCCCTCTTGGGATCTGCTGSTTTCTTCAGCTGGCTCTGAAACCTGCCTTGATATTGGTGCCAAGTGCGTGGGCAGGTCTGTGATCCTCACCTTCCACTGTGGGTAGGAGCAGATCCCCAGCATTGGCAGTAGTGGCCTCTGTGCTGGTGCTTGTGCTTCTGGCTGTGGCGTAGGCAGGAAGGAGAGGGGAGTGAAGACACGTTCCTGACTTCCCCTGAYATCAGCAAGGGGCTTTTGAAGGCTCTTCTGTCTGTGTTTGAGCTGAGCTGTCGAGAGCAATAAGTTGTCAGCCTTGCCCTCCCGGCTGGCTCTGCAGCTTCTGTCTCCTCTCTGCTCCCTGCCACCCCCAGAGGTGCTGATGTGACAGTAACAAAAGGGATTGACCTGCGAGCTGCTTCATCCTCCCCTCGCTAGACAGCAGGGCTACCCGGGCAGTCARCAGGGCCCGTGCTGGTGGTGAGCACCAGGATTAGTGCTGTGCCCTTGGGGAGCCTGYCCTGAGCACAAGGCAGAGCAAGAGCAGTGCTGCTTGCCTTGCCACTCGGGCACTGGGGATGCGCTAAGGAGAGTCTGGCTGTCAAGACCTGCTCAAAATGTGGGGCCTGTGTCAGGAAATAGCCAGGCCAGAAGCAATCATGGGCCTTGAGMAGGAAGAGGGAGTGGGCAGCTCCATGCTCCGGGTGAAACCTGGCATTCCTGAGGAGCCAGTCGCACATTTGCCCTTCGTTCAGGGTTTGAAGACAAGAGGTGTTGGCAGCTGGTGGGTCCCGTGGGGGTGGACAGACAGGCTGCTCACTGCAATCTCTCCTGGCAGGTTCCGCCTGCCCCCCGGCTGCTCCACAGAGCTCAACCACTTGGGCTACCAGTTCCTGCAGCGGCTGTTCGAGAAGCACGACAAGGTGGGCAGCGTGCCTGGGTGGGCAGGGGGTGCTCCCTGCCAGGCCTGCGCCTTTGGGCATCGCCATTCTCCTGTCTGTCCTTGTGCTGCCTGATTTGGGTGCACATGTGGAACCAGAAAAAGGCTTTTGACTGTCACAGCAAGCGCTCCCTTTACAACCTCTCTGCTGTGGCTTGGGAACACGTTCACCGCAAGCTGTATGTAGGGACAGCACAGCAGCTGTGGCTGTGACTGCAGCAGCCTGTCAGGTGCTCAGGGCTGTGGTCTTTACTCCTGGCCAAGGGGCAGCCAGGAAGGTGCAAAGCTCTTCACAGGCTCTGAGCTGCTGGGCCCGAGTTGACATCAAGTTGGCATGCGCCCTGCATAGTGCCTGGGCACAGCGTGCTGAGTAGCAGAGGAGAGTGGGCAGAGCTACTGCCCTGCAGCCACAAGGCACATGCAAGCCACCCTTCCTGTGGAAGGAGTGGCAGACCTGGAGAGAGGATTGATTTCTGCCCTACTCTGGYACTTTGGAGGAGAGAAAGGTGTGTTATGTCTGTGTGCTGCTGGAGTACGTGCAGCAGTGAGGACTCAGCGTCTCCGTGTGCTTCAGTGCTGGCAGACCCTCTGTTGGGTAGCCCCGTGGCACTGCAGCCTGAGGGCCCTGCACTTGTGTGCAGTTACCTGAGGGCACCAGCGCCCTGGCAGCCTTGGCTCCCTCACTGCTGCCCCCAGCCCTTGCCATCCTGCAGTACAGAAAGTCAGGCTGGACCAAAGCAGGCTGCCATGTGGCGGCTGCCCCCAGGGAAGCCACAAATAGCAGCAGGTCAGGGCTGTGGAGTGAGTGAGAACAGGTCTTTCCTGCTAACAGGGCTGGCACTGGCTACAGCTGTAGTCACAGAATGGCAAGACCCCTGGCATAACCTGCCCCTGGCACAGTGATGGAGGCGTCCCTGCTGCTCAGGCTGTCTGCACTGCGTCCCACGGATGCTTTTGCATGTTCAGAAAGCTCTGGCCTTGCTTGTAATTGGTTTCTGCTGCTCAGAGAGTCCCTGTTTCATTCTGCATTACTGTTCAAAGTGGCTCCAGTTGTGCTGAGTTTCCTCTCCGGATCATGATGATATTCCCTGTGTCTGTAGGGAGATGCTAGTGCACATACAGGCTTCGTTGTACCTTAGTTGCTGACTCCAGTTTGTTTTTGCAGGACCAGGATGGAGCCCTCTCGTCCACAGAGCTGCAGAGCTTCTTCAGCGTCTTCCCCTGCGTGCCCTGGGGCCCCGAGCTCTACAACACGGTATGCACCACTGATAAAGGCCTGCTTTCCCTGCATGGATTCCTCTGCCAGTGGACGTAAGCTCAGTCCCTTTCCCCTACCTTTACTCCACTTTGCTTAGTGCTTACTGACCTTGCTGGCTTCCCTGGATTGCTGGTTCTGTCTCCAGGCTCGTAGCTTACGTGGATGTCCGGCACTGCTTGGAGTGCCTGGGCTACCTGGGCTACCCCATCCTCTCGGAGCAGGACTCCCAGACCCAAGCCCTCACAGGTAATGGCAGTACCCTCCCTTCCTGGCACAACTCAGGCGCCTTCCTCCCTCTCACTCGGCCTCTTTCCTCCCAGTAACCCGGGAGAAGAGGATTGACCTGGAGAAGGGTCAGACGCAGCGCAACGTCTTCCTCTGCAAGGTGCTGGGAGCCAAGGGTGCAGGCAAGTCCGCCTTCCTGCAGGCCTTCCTCGGCAGGAGCCTCGCGGTGAGTGGCTGCTCCCCTGTCCTGTGGTGCCGGGCACAGCGCCCTGGCACCCTCTGCCCGGGAAGCAGGAGCCTGAGCTGCTGCTGAGGGGAACCTTCCAGCACCCCCCAGCCCTGGCCACGGCTTGGGACTCAGCTTTGTGCTGTCTGCTAAACTGGTGGCACCTGCTGGCATCACTGCTGTGCCCTTAAATTTGAGAAGGGCAACCGGCCACATCCCTCCATCCTGTGTTTGCCCAGAGGGTTGTGCCTGTCCCCAGCAGCAGTGACCCCTGCTCTCTGCAAGGGATGCTGTTTTTTCCCCGCTTCTTGCAGATGGCCCTGTTGCTCTCGAGTGAGGCTTGATGGCCTCCAAGGACAGGGGCTGTCTCCGTGGGGGCTTGGGGCACTGTGAAACATCTCCCCTTTCCTGAGCCCCACTCTTCCCTGCTGACTGACACGGTGTTTTCATTGATGGCAGGCCCAGAGGGAGAACCGAGGAGAGCCATCCCTCTATGCAATCAACACCGTGCAGGTCAACGGCCAGGAAAAATACCTCATTGTGAGTGTGGGAGAGGAGGGATCGCTGCTGTCTCTGCCTGTGAGCAGGGGGTCGTGGTGGGGTTGGCGCTGTCCCTGCCTGTCTCTGCTCGGCCTGCTTGTGCCTGCGGCTGTGCTCGCGCTGGCACAGTCTGTGTCCTGCTGTGCGAGACAGCCCGATGTCCTTGACGTGGTGTTTTTGCCACATCCCCCTTCCCTTCCCGCTGCAGCTGTATGAGGTCAGTGCTGACACACCGCTCTCCAAGCCGTCGGACGCAGCCTGCGACGTGGCCTGCTTGATCTATGACCCGAGTGACCCCCAGTCCTTCAGCTACTGTGCCAGTATTTATAAGGTAATTAGCAAGGGGTTAGTCCTCAAGTGGCAGCCCTGCAGGACGGTCTCTGGGGCCGTGGAGAAGGTCCCAAGGCTTTAGAGCCTCTCGGTGATAGCATCTCCGCTAGCCGAGTTACCCGCTCTGGGCACATCCCACTGGGTGAGGCAGCGTCAGGGCTGCAGCCTCAGCCCTCCGTGGGCCTCCGTGGGCCTTCTGCCTCTCTCTGCAGCAACACTACATGGACAGCCAGATCCCCTGCGTCTTTGTGGCCTCCAAGGCAGACCTGCCCGAAGCCGCTCAGCAGCCCGGCCTCTCGCCCACGGAGTTCTGCTACAAGCACTGCCTCCCGCCACCCTTCCCCTTCTCCTGCCACAGCCAAGGCCCGCCTGGCACCGCCGTCTACACCAAGCTGGCCACGGCCGCCACCTTCCCGTTAGTATCCTGCCGGTGGAGGGGGTGCTCAGGAGAGAGGGCTGGACCTCGGCACTGCCACCTTTTCACCCCGTTTCTGTCTTGGCACTGCCACCTTTTCACCCTGTTTCTGTCTTGGCACTGCCACCTTTTCACCCTGTTTCTGTCTTGGCACTGCCACCTTTTCACCCTGTTTCTGTCTTGCTTTCTGTGCCGCTTTCTTTGGCATCTGCTTAGAGGAGTAATTGAAGCAAAAGAAGGCCAATTCTCCCCCTGCTCAGAGAGGGCAGAAGGGAAATAGGTTCTTTTCTGTCCTGTGCGTCTATGGCAGATTTATTAGATAAGCTGCTGTGGTTGGATTTTTACTTTTGAAGGCTGAGATTAAAAAAAAATAAACACTGAAGGGGAGTAAGCAGCCCAGTTTGGTAGGGCCTGCAGAAGGGAGGAAGCAGCTATTTCCTCCTAAGTGGATCTRACTGATAAAGAGGTCAGTGAAGCAGGACCTCAGTTCACGCAGCCTTCCCTTCGGGAAGAAGCCTGGTGCAGGAGTAGGGAGGATGGGGTGAGGATGGGGATGAGGAGTAGATGAGGAGTAGTGAGGGATGGGGACGCATCACCCACAGGGATGGGGACAGCTCCTTGGGGGAGCTCTGGGACAAGGAGGGAGCTGTAAACAGGCCTGGAGCAGGGCCGGGGGCCGAGTGCGCCTGGGGAGAACGGGTGGGTGCACTGGAAAACAGCATGGGATTAGTAACGAGTGGTTTTCCCTTTAGCTTCTTTTCAATAAACAACTTTATTTTTAGAGCTGACACTTTTTTTTTCCCCCCTCTGCAGTATTAAAATTTAAATATTCTTAATATATCTTAGGGTATGTGGTATAAATAAATAAGAGCGTAATGGAGGACCAGGGATTGGCTGCTCTCCCCCGATTTAGTGGAGGATGAATAATGGATTTGTCTTCCCTCCTTGGAGAGGGGCATGTTAATGGGGGATAGCACGTGCTTAGGGAGGACCCAGCCTCTGCCCTTGGGTCTCTGTCACGGGGACAGTGCCAGCCCTGGACACCCCCATTGCTGCCTGCGTCTGCTCCTGGCTCTCTGTTTGCTCGGAGATGGAAAGGCAGCTTGACCTAGAAAGGAGCCCGTATCTATCCCCCCTTGCTCGTGCTAGTTCTTTAGATGCTGGCTCTCGCGAGGCCGCGGGAGGGCAGAGCCCCCGGCGGCTCCGCCGGCGCGTGAGGCCCTCGCTCGCCTCGATGCTGATGCCGGCTGGCGGGCGCCCTGGCGCGGGGCCCGGGAGGCTCCCCGGCTCTGTGCAGCTCATGGCGGGGTGGCCGGGAGCTGCGCTCACCCTGCTGTGCGGCGGGGCCCCCCCGGGGTTTTGGGGTGCCGGGGCAGCCCCCTCTGCGCGGCACTCACTGCTCTTCTCTCTCCTTGCAGCCACCTGAATGCCCTGGAGCTGGGAGCCGCCTCCTTCTGGCTCCGCGTGGCCCTGGGGGCCACGGTCACCGCCCTCGTAGGGTTCACCCTGTACCGCCTGCTGGCCAAGAACAAGTGAGGACGGCTCCGCACCCCGGCCTCCCTCCCAGTGCCGCCCCGACAGGGCTCCCGCCCGGAGCTGCTCCCTGCCGGGAATCCCTCCRGCCTCGCCCGCAGAACCAGCGATCCCGAATTCCTGCACCAGCAGGACACACAGCCTGGCAGGGGTGAGGCCCTTTCTGCCGGGGCACCAGGTTCACAGGGCCTCAGAGGGTCGTCACCCACATCTTTTATTCTGATTATTTTTTTAATGCTTGTTTTTATGCTCAGATGTGTTTGGGGATCTGTCAGGCTAGGCATATCTTTTCCCCACGGAGCCGTGCTGGGCCCTGTTCTGTGGGAGAAGATAGATGTGTGCATGTGTATATATATATATATATATATATATTTATTCATATATATATATATGTACACATTCACAGAGCCCCTGGGGATGCCGGCAGCCCTGGCATTAAGGTCATGCTGCTGCACAAGAGCTGCTGCAGGGGCCAAGAGCCCTGGTCCCCGAGGCCACGTCCCCATCGGGAGTCCCCGCATCCCTCTGCCAGCGGGGGAGGCCTGGGGCCTTTCCCGGTGCAGCTCTCTGCCTCTKGGGGTCCCTTGGCTCCTGCCCCGTCCCCTTGTCCTGGGGGGTGCTGTGTGCCCCCCTGCAAAGGGAGCAAGTGCCACCATGAGCACTCCCAGCTCCCTTCTTGGGTCTTTGTAAAATATTTGGAGCCCTGGGTTGTGCCAGCATCTCGGTGCCCCTGCCCTTCCTGCCCTGGCTGGCAGCCTGTCCCCTCCCCGCCGCTGCCCTAGCCCCYGCTGGGGACTGGGATCCTGCTCAGCAGCCGGAGTTGCTCGATGGCCAGACCTGGCCCCAGGGCTGCCCTTCAGCACGAGCTGCGGCTGCTCCCACGCCCGGTCACGGCAGCACAAATGAGCCGCGCACTGGGTCTGTCCTGCTGGCCTTGCCACCCTGTCCCAGTACAGTGTCCCAAGGGGCACCACAGCTCCCAACAGAACTGGAAGCCCTTTCCTGCTGGAGCAGCCCCTTCCCCCTGGAGTGGCCCTGGCCCCTGCCTGACTCTGTGCAGGGGTGGCTCGAGTCCCGTGCAGACCTGGGGCCACCCTGTCCCCAGGCTCCTGAAGAGCGAGGGCAGCGTCGTGATCCCTGTGGGCTGGTGTCCCGCTCGGCTCCCTGTCTCCCTGCTGCGGGAGCTGCTGCCTGCGTTAGCGGCACTAGACCTGAGGCTTCCACCACGCTCAGGGTGGGTTTGCTGACACCCGGCTCGGGGCAGCACGGGCTTCCACTAACTCCTTTTCTATACGTTTGTCTATTTATCCCCTTCCTGTGTGGCCTGGAGCCCACGGTGGCTTGGAGAAGCCTTGGCTGCTCCCAGCTGCYTTTCATGGGATGAGGCCTGGGGTGGCCCCCAGTGGGGTCTCTGTCCCTGGCCAGGTGTGTGGCCCCGTGTGCCCTGCTGGTGTGTGACAGTCACAGCCACCTCCGGGGCTCTGTTTCTCCCCTCCCTGGCCTGCTGTGCACAGAGTGGCCCCGCTGCAGCACCCTCTGGGCCCTACTGTTTTAGGAAGTTTGTTCTCTACAGCAAAATAAATTTTTACACACCTTGTGAGCACTTGCTGTGTTCTGTGGCACCAGGAGCGGGAGGGCCCCCCTCTTGCTCTGCACCCCGTTATCCTGATAGTCCCTTGKGCTGCCCGGGCTTGGGGAGGTGGTGGATGGCAGCACGGGCTGCTCCTGGGGTGGGGGCTGTGGGGGTGCTGGGGAGCCCAATGTCCTGCATGGAGCCCCTGCCAGCAGGCACGATTGGGATGGAGGCAGCGGGTCCCCGTGTCACCCCAGCAGGCTGTCCGTGTGCGGGGACAAGGCAGGGCCCGGTGCAGCCCTGGCCATGGTGGTGGCTGCTGCGGCCCTGGCTCCTCGTGCCCCAGCCCATGTGGGGTCTTCCCTCTGCTATTCCAGTCTCTCCAGGCTCGGCAATTGGCACTGGGAATGCTGGGAGAGCCGCTTTTCCCAGGTCTAGGCTGTGTGGGCAGGTCGTGCTGGGCAGAGGAGCCCCAGGGCTGCTCGGCCTCCCCGAGCCTCAGGCCCTGTGAGCAGGGARGGAGCAGCACAAGCCCCGCGGTGCRGGAGGGAACYGAGGGGTGACGGGCACGGACCCACCTGAACCCCCTTGAGGTGCTGGCGATATGGGCCAGGCCAGGCCTGGTGCTGCCGTGGCGGTCAACGTGACGTGGGCTKAGCTGAGGCAGCCTCTGCGCTGCCCGAGGAGTGAGGAACCAGGGGAAGGTGGGGCTGGGGGGCACCCAGGCAGGGGCTCCTGGTGGGCTGGGACATCAGGACACAGGGACAGCACGCCAGGAGACGGGTACCCAATGGAGAGCAGGAGCCCGAGTGCTGCCCAGAGCCCTGGGCTGAAGGGAGCCAGGGGCAACACGCAGGTCCCAGGGCTGTGACACGTCCTGCAAGTGCCGGGACACCCCAGGTTYCCTGAGCAGGGCCCCACGGCCACCCTGGGACGAAGCTGTGCCGGGTGGTGGGTCCTGCTGTGTCGCCTCTGCCAAGGAAAGTACCCGTGTTCCGGCAAGAGCACCCGGGGCTGGCGGCTGCCTCGTGTCGGGACACAGGACTACCTGCCGGGCTACAGGTGGGACCAGTGCCACAAGCACCGTGCGCCTGTCCTGGGCTGCCCGTGGKGAGAGGCAGGGACCTGCGCAGAGACACCAGTACCTGGACGCTGGTATTTGCCTGGGGATATTGGTACCCATAGTAACCTGTACAGGTATGGCTGTGCTGTGCTGGGACATGGTCCCCAGCTGGGATGGAGGGCCAYGTGCTGGGATGCAGCACTGGGATGCAGGTGCTCACAACAGCGCTCGGGTACCTGTTGCCAGGAGGCAGGTCCCGTAGTGGGATGCAGCTACCTGCGGTTGGGATGCAGGAACCGTGCAGGCATCCACTGGGATGCAGTTACTGGGATGGAGGGCCCTGGCAGCGGGATACTGGGACGCAGGGTCACGCACCGAGGCGCCAGCCCCCCTGCAGGGGTGGGGGTGCAGGGACCGTCCCAGGAGGCAGCCCCCCCTGTCCCCGGGAGTCCCAGAGCAGAGCGCGGCCGCACCGGGATGCAGGGACCGCGCCGGGATGCAGCGACAAGGACGGAGGGAGGCACGGCGCGGGATGGGGGGGTTGCGGGTCCCGGGCTGCGGGCGGGGC